GCTTAAAAAAATATAAATGACTTTCGTGTGTTTGTTTGTAAAAATTTAGAGGGCATTTACAGCAATTATCATATAAAAAGACACCGAAAATATTTGATTATTAATGAACAAATTATTTTAACTGTAACTATATTTTAGCGTTGTTTTCAAGTGTTACGTCAGATAAAGTAATTCCGTCGGCATAAAGACGTGTTCTTCGCTCAATATGTTAGGTGACAGAAGAAATATCGTTAATATCAGTGCGTAGAGCACACAATATTACTAAATCCATTGGAATAAAAATAATTCGAACGAAATGGTTTGGTTTTCTTACTTTTTTATTTTTTCATTGGTATGTTACATGCTATTTGTTATCTGTGTTAAAGGCGCGACGACGCCGACGTGTTGTTTGGCGGGAAAGTGTAATGTTGCCATATTTGAATTTTTGACATAAATAATATGACGCGTGTCTAATAGTAACTTTTTGCGATACTTAAAAAACATTTTTTTAGTCATAGATTGTGTTTAAAATTGTGTGTGTTAAATAAAATATGAAAGAATTAAGGACCGTCATAGAGTTAGCAAAGGTTATGAATTTGAGTTTGTGCCTGCATCACCGATGCTATTTAAATGTTCAATACAAGTAATTTCAGTAATTTGTATTCTTGTTGTAAAACACAATACTGACGTTGCGGGATGAGTGTGGCTGTTCTGCATCAGAATAAGCTTCATTAGCCCGCGACACAAATGTCACCGGTGTACTACGAAATTAGTGATGTTTATAATTTTTTTAAATTTAAAGTTAAGTCTATCAATATTATTCGTTCGAAAACTTTTTGCCAACCAACTGCAACCATCTTGGCGCTGACGGCAAAAAACAAACAGACACAAAAATAAATAGGCCGGCTCGCCCGGTGTAATAGCACGACCACATAGAAGACAAGCGTGAAGTGGAAGTAATTCCGCGTTTCGTCTTTCCCTTTCCACCCTTTTTTTTAAGAGGTAAGGATGGGAAGGAAAAGCGGATTTGACGGTGGAGGAAACGCATAGGAAGGGGAAATATCCTCTTTATGTGCGTCTCCTCCTCCGTCGTTTAAAAGTAGTCAACGCATCTGCAATTGCAGATGTCTATGGGCAGTGGACGCTTCGCCATTTCGGCAGTTAAGGTGGCCGCTTGGCCGTCCTTCAGTCAGTGGCTATTGACAATTATGATTAAAGAGTTGTTAGGGAATGGAATGTACGTTCTATAACTAATCAATTGTACTCATAATATTTATACACAAATGTTTTGTGTCATAGAATCGAGAAAACGAAATAATCCCGACATAAAAATGTTTAGGTAGAAAAATCTCATTGGATGAATCCAATCAGCATTGAATACATTTTTTAGCGTTAAAAAAACAATCGGCGTGTTTGTTTGAACTTTTGCATTTTTTTCCCGTATTACGTTGACACGGTTTTTGATGTTTTATCGATGTGTACTGAGTTTTATTTATTTTATGGCTTTGATTTTTCACAGCGAAAATAAATTTTATGTACGAAATAAAATATTTTAAAGTAGTTGTGTCTCATCTTTAGTTACATGTCAAAATATTTTATACTACACATACGAACCATCTTTTCAACAAACCTGCGAAAAAGTAATTCTTCTCTAAATGTAACAAAAAAAAAACTGTCGCTTAATATCTACTATTTTCTATTAACACCAACTATTACTTACTTTGTTTAAAGTAAAAAAATAATTTATTGTTTTACTAGAAATGTCAAACTTTGACGCACTTCTATCATAAAGGACTCCTGCTTCGATCAAAGCATGTATGTCATTACAACGCGAAAGTTTTAACCCCAGTTGTAAAATCTAATGGAAGTTGCCGCTAAACAAAAATCAAAGCTGACAATCTATTCATAAAACATTCTCGCGTCTCTAACTTACTTCAAGCAGAATATTACGTAAGTTCCCAAGTGATCTAGTTAAGTATTCCAGGAGACAAGACTCTGAAGTATCGAATAAATATTATCGAATACTTTTAAAATATACCGCTTCTAGTTAACTTTATTCATGTATTACAAACTAGCTTTCTCCTGCGACTCCATCCGCGTAGGATTAAAAAAGCGAGTAGCCTATGTATTATTCCAGGCTATGCTCTACACCATGCCAAATTTCATTGACATCCGTTCAGCAGTTTAGGCTACAAACTCTAACAAACATCCATCTAAACCTTCGTATTTATATTAGTAAGATTACAAATTTAGATTTATAGTGCTGTTTAACTTGTTACCGACAGCGCGGCAGCCAAAAATACAAAACACTTATTATAAAACAAACATGTCTATATTTAAAACTTATTTACAGTAAAAATATACAAACTTAAAACTCTCTTGATTACATCTTGACTCCTTCTTCTATATATTTTATTTTAACAAACAACGATAAATGCCTTGGTGGCCAGTATGCAACCTCTTTGGCTGTATACATACTGCTTGTCAGCCAAAGAGGTTGTATTTTGCACTCAACAAGTGCAACGTTTAACGAATTAAGAATTGTGAAATCGTTTTTTTGGATTAAGCAAATGTAGAGCTTTTCTTGATAAGAAAATGTTATTTTTAGCGTTAGATAAAACCAATAGATAAACGTTCATTAATAATTTTAATTACCTTAAAAAAAGTAGAAGGTACACATCTTGTCAATACCCTGATATCATTATTGAAAACCTAAAGAAGAAAGAGGGGATTACAAACATTGTTATGAAAAATCATCTTCACCTTTTTTTATTGATAAAGATAAAAAAAGAAATAATTGAATGAATTCAGATATATTCAATTATTTCTTTTTTTTTTATTTATTCACACCAATTAGAATTTATTACGCAGTGTAGCGTTTAATTGAGCGAATGGGATATCGCTCCGCGGCAAATGATTCCCTATTAGTTCACAAGCTGCGTTCATTTTAATCTACCTGCTAAATTGAACTCGTATTTGAATTTATACACCCGATGTTTTCAAATACACATATTGTTTTAATCAATTTCTACATTCGTATTGCAATTTAACATTTTTTAATTATACTAGATTGAAATAGGTATTCATTGTCTGATTCGTTACGAAACTAGCTTTTATCCGCGATGTCGTCCGTGTGGAAGTAAAAAAAAAAATAAAGTGAGTCTGTGTTCTTCCAGACTATGCTCTAACAAACATCCATCTATTTTCGCATTTATATTAGAAAGATTGTTTTTGAGCATTTGTTCTTAAACTCTTAGAAAGCTCTAGAAATCGCACATTTTTGTAATTTACTGTTAAACTATAGCTTGTTGGTATAAAAGAAAACTTAATACGAGTCACCTTATGTATATTAAAGCATGAGTTTTTTTTTTCATCGAAGCCATAGCAAGCAACCATAAAAATTGATAATGATGTCGATAAACGGTTGTAACGCTAAAAAACTGCTATAACCGTTATAGCGTGTTATATACTGCTACGTTGAATCAATGTTCCAGCTATCTCAGTACAAATGACACTCGCCACAAAGCTCGTCAACAATCTAATCCGATTCCAGTAGGAACGGTCTTGTTTAAACAGAATTTGTTTATTTGTCCGAGCTAGTCGCAATTGCTTTATCGTATTTGTGAATCCGTCCTCAGTTTCGCTTAATTCGCTTCACTGAATACTAAAGTTAATTAAAAGTGATTACAATTAGTTTAAAAATTGACATTGTTTTCTATAAATAAGAAAAAAATCATTACAATCCGCTGTAGTACATTAATTTTATTCAAGTCTTTTCAATTTACTAGTTGAAAACACTAGTGTAGTTTGAAGAACAATTTATTCATACAAATTGTTTTCAACGCGTCCAATTTATTTTGACTTTACATTGCAATCCTCTTGTGTAACGAACGCAATTAAAACTTTTGTATTTATTTACTTTGGAAGTCAGCACGCTCAATTGGTAATATTGATGGTTTGTACACGGTTTTGTTACTAATTAAAACGTTAGCAAACAATAAAAGAATGTGAAATCACGTCATGTCATCATGTCAATATGCTGTACTTCACGGGAATTGGATTAAGATAATTGTACTGGTTATTAGTGAAATAGCGGTTTTTGTAACTATAAATACTATTGTGTTCTTAGAACGAATTAACTTCTCAAACTTAATATAGACGGTGTAATTTTCCAACCCATGAAATGCATCAACATTATGCAGAAAACTAAATGCGCAGGTTGATTGTTAAGACTTACACCGTAAACCGTTATTAACTAAAGTTATAAACCAGCTACGTTATATTCTTAATTAAACGAACGCGTGTAACTTTTTTAATTAAATTAACTAAACTTAAAATTCACCATTATTTCGTTTTGAGCAATCTATATGATTTGTAAGCTACATTATATTGCTATATTATTTGAAATATTTGTTTGTAATAAAAATATAACCTTAAACCGCTTTATTAATTTTCTTTATAAATGTACTTATAATGAAATTAAATGTAATTATTTGATCATTTATTACGTGCTTATAATGGAGAGCTGTATTTTAAAAAAGTGTTGTAAAGAATAAATAATTCAAGGCGCGATGTCGAGTTATTAATGAGAACACGAGAGGAGCTCCGGGAACGGAACACGGAGAGGATTAATGCTGAATCGAAGTCAATTGAGCTCGTAAATTGATTACAAACAATTTGATTTGGAAAAGCTTCGCCGTTTGCTTTTATTTATCATGTCGTTTTTATTTATTGATATCGATTACTGAACGGCTTTAAAACACTTTAATGAAAGAAAACATTGTATTTTTTCTGTAATTTTCAACAAACCTTTATTGTGTAGATTAAAAAAAAAAACAAGTGGCGCAATGTGTTCTTCCAGTCTACATTCTAAATCTGTGGCCATCGAGATCCATCGAGCCTTCTGAAGACATCTTCCAACATCCATCTATACTTTCGCATTTATAATAAAAGTAAGAAGTCAGATTGTGTTTTTAACATATCCGAGAGAATGATTGTCGTTATGGGTAAAATAAAACTAATTTTAATTGAAAATATTTACTAACGTTATTTATAAATTTCTTAATTACAATGTCGATTTTATAACTAAATGGTACAGATTATCACAGTGTGCAAGCGCGTGCGGAACAAGCAACTGGTAGCTATTGCTGCGACAGAACTATAAAACATTTGACTTTAAAAAAAACTGTAATTAAATATCAAAAGAGGTTATGATACCTGTGATTCTATTATGCTTATATATTATATTTTTATTAACTAATATAAAAAAATGCTATAAAATTTAAAATAAGTGTATAAAAAGGTTTTGTGCAATAAAAAAAGTTTTTGTAGTGATCACAACAAAAAAATCTAAATGGCGCGCTATTTTGACATATCCTCTAAAGGCACAGATCTAATTTTATTTTACAATTATAGTCTATCAAATTAAGTGACGTCTAATAAAAATATACTTATAATAATTATTTCTTATTATGAATTAGATTTTTTTGCTTTTTAATACACTTTATTTTATGTATTCTTCGAGTATTTTGTATTGTTAACAATGTTATACTTTTGACATGAGAATTGAATTAACAATAACAATAAAATTCTGCTTACGATAAATCTTAACATCTTTTAATTCATTTAAAATTCCATATTCAAAGTAAAAAAATATCTCGCCTATAAAAATAAAAAAAGCATTTAATTGCGTTTCGAGCGCCTTTAGACTTTAATAATAAAAATTGTATACTTTACTGTGTGCAGTATTTAATAATTAAATGCAATTTAAACTTAAAAGATAATTTAACCCTGTTGTCAACGGAAATGAATTTAAAAACAATTTTTTATTCATAGACAAGTTTTCAAATGAGATATATGTTGTCTGTGGCAGCGCGGGCGCTAGTTGCGCGTCTCGCAGCTAACTTCACACGTCGACTTCACCTCGAGGAAGAATGGTCCCTCCTGAGCCGGATAGAACGTTGATACAGTTATTATATACCTACCTGCTGGGAGATTACGAAGCTCCAAGTATACGAAACCTGATCTGAAAAATATCTACTATTAAGAAAAATCTGAATAGATTTTACATAACAATAAAACCGATATGTGGCGGGAAAACATACAGCATTGGTTTTCGAATTTGTTTTTTTTATAACATAAGATGGCAAACGAGCAAGCAGCCACCTGAATACGCGAAAATGACGAAGCGACCGATTATACAACGGAGGAGGAGACGCACATAAAGAGGACATTTCCCCCTCCACCGTCAAATCCACTTCCCCTTCCCAACCTCTCCTTATAAGAAAAGGGTGGTAAAGAGAAATGGACTTAAATTAGGCCTCCGGCACCACACTCATCAGACGTAACACGGAATTGCGTCCATTTCACGCCTGTCTTGTGTGTGGTCGTGGTATTACTGGGGGCGAGCCCTGCACTGCTAACATGTTAAAGCGGGCACTACCACTGTTGAAATTCTAACCATCTCAGAAGCAATTGCTTTGGTAATAGTAATTGTTAGCCAATGTCAACAAACTTTTTTATTTGTGCATTTGAATTTTGACATTTCCAATTATAAAAATTTTTTTATAATTTCAAGCGGATAAACCCGCACGGGAAAAACTAGTCTATACTAATATAAAACGAAAATATTTTTGTATGTATTGAAATTAATCGAAAATTACTGGGTCGGTTTTAAAAATTCTTTGACCAATAAATAGTTACCTTATCACTTAGTAATATAGGCTATGTTTATTTTTTACGCGCGTATAATGAACCGAGCAACAACTAGTTTGTCTAAATAAGATAGATTAGTTTGATAAATGATGCATATATATTCAAATTATATTTGTATAAAGGTAAATACCGTATTTAATAGACAGTAGTGAAACAAACACGCAGCGAACAATTTTGAACTATCGATATGGTTTAAATAATTATATAACTCAAGTAAAATTATTATTTTCTTATTAAATAATTTAGTGGACAATTCTAGTATTGATAGTGTAGAGAATTTAGCGATGACAGAAATAATAGCGAAATCCAATTCGATTACGTACAGCTGTAGTAGTAATAGCCATTTATTTACTCTCATTATTTGTTATGGTCATTATTAATTTGAGAAAACAGTGTTTTTTTTAAATTCATAAGTTATAAATATGAATCTATCGATTCCAACTTCTATAAGAATAAAAATCGAATATCGATAAGATTCATGACTGGCTCTACACAACCCATCCCTACTAAATTTGAAATGAATAGTCAAACTAATCTAAATTATTTAGACACACTATAGAAGTATATGAACGTTTATATATGTTCTTATATTTACCTATAAGGGCCTGATGATTCTTTCAAAAAGGGTGCAGTAACTGTAGGGTCGTCTATAGATTCCACTCTAGCGTCGATTCCGATCTGGTACTGCTTGGGCCCCTTAAGTTCCAGCACCATGTCGCAGGGAGACCTCGCCTCCGCCACTGTTACTGTGAACTTGGGGTTGTTGGGGTAGGTCCCGCGATGGTTCTCGCACCCTCCGGCTGTTCTACCTGACCATTCACCGCGGAGCTAAACGAGAATGAAACAGCACAATTTGACAAAAAAAATAGTATAATTTAGTTGGAATTCAGAGTTTTTTAGGTTGACATCTTACTAATATTACAAATGTGAAACTTAAGATGGATGGATGTTAGAGTTTGTAGCGTAAACTGCTGAAAGGATTTCGATTATTGGCATAGTTATAGAGGATAGTCTTAGTCTGGGACACACAGGCTACTTACTAAGTTATTTTTGCTAATTCCGCGCGGATGGAGACGCGGGCGAAAGCTAGTCTGACTAATATTATAAATCAGCGAGATGTGAAAATTTATATGCATACATTAACGTTTGTTAAAAGATATCTTTGGAACCACTTAACGGATGCCGATGAAAGGCACAATTGTAGTACATACTCTGAAAATCACATACTAAGCCTAATTACTAACTGCCTTAAATAAACCCAATATAGAGTTAAAGTTAGAAAAATTTCTACTAATATTTGCTTATACTGTTTATTCCTAAGATTAACTTTATACCGCATTAATTTGTAAGGCAGATAGTGTTTTTTATAATGTCGCACGGATGTAGTAAAAGCCATTGTTGCTAACATACATTGATGCAAAAATAATAGAAAACACATCATTTGTGTGTGCACAGGTGGTCGTGTGTCTGTTTCCTTTTACACGGGTATTCAATTTCTGTATATAAAGACTTTGATGTACACCAGTATTTGTTCGTTATACAGGTTGTTCGTTTGTCTAGGTATGTGTGTATGTGTATACAGGGTGTGTGTCGTACCGTCCTCGTGCAGGGGTAGTGGTGCAGCCTGTCGAGCGCCACGGGGCAGGTGGCGAAGGCACGCAGCGTGTACAGTATGGTGCGCGACTTCTCGTACTGCGACACCACCAGCGTGAAGCTGTCCCCCTCCCCCGCCGACACCTTGCACAGGTAGTGCGGGCTGTTGATCCGCACGCCGTCGATGTACGGCGGCGGATCGTCTGATATACAGATTATTTGATGTATAATCCGATCCGATATATTCGATATTTGTATCTGAATATCATTCGATACACTAGTGCATCGAAATACTACCACTGTAGATCGGATCGAACAGTATTCAATTTGTACAAATTTTAGAAATAAACAAACAACAACTGAAAATGTTTATTTGAATACACTAACAGTTCCACCTCTGTTACTTTTTTAAATATTTTTACAATGAAATTCCACTAATACAATTTGTATTACGAATATAACTTTATCTTAAGGAAATCTTATTATGAAATTAGTAAAAAGATAGTTAATTTTTTTTTGGAATTAAGTCATATACTGGATCGACCAAAAAAATCGCATCAAACAGACCGATACCTGGATCGATCCAAAGCAGTTTAACAGTGGTAGTGCCCGCTTTAACATCTTAGCACGAATGGGCCGGCACGCCCGGTGTAATACCACGACCACACAGAAGACAGGCGTGAAGTGGAAGCAATTCCATGTTTCGTCTGATAAGTGTGGTGCCGGAGGCCTAATTTAAATCCCTTTCTCTTTACCAACCTTTTCTTAGAAGGAGAGGATGGGAAGGGGAAGTGGATTTGACGGTGGAGGAGACGCATAGGAAGGGGAAATATCCACTTTATGTGCGTCTCCTCGGATAAGGGTAGGCAACGCATCTGCAATTGCGGATGTCTATGGGCAGCGGTCGGTTCGCCATTCTGGTGGATTCAGGTGGCCGCTTGCTCGTTTGTCACCTTATGATATAAAAAAAAAAAAAACATCGATATAGCATAGTGTAGTAACTTACATGGATAATAGACTCTCCGTCCGTTATTCTTGTAGACTAGCAGCGTGATGTACTCGTTGTTGTCGCGGAAGTCGCGTATGTCGGTGATGTGGCGCGTCAGCAGCAGCCAGACGGCGGCGGGCGAGCGCGCGCGCAGCACGTACTGCGGGTTCTCGCCCACGTTGAACGCGTCCTTAGCGGGGCCCGTGCCCGCCTCCCACTTCCTACGTAAATACATCTCGTTTTTGTTTATTTTTTAAATATCACTAGCTTTTGCCCGCGACTCCGTCCGCGTGGAATTAAAAAAAACAAAAGCGAGTACTCCATGTGTTCTTCCACATTATCCTCTACATCCGTATCAAATTTCATCGAAATCCGTTCAGCCGTTTAGGCTACAAACTTTTTTTTTTAATAACATAAGGTGGCAAACGAGCAAGCGGCCACCAGAAATCGCCAAAATGGCGAAGCGACCGCTGCCCATAGACATCTGCAATTGCAGATGCGTTGCCTACCCTTAATTGACGGAGGAGGAGACGCACATAAAGAGGACATTTCCCTTTCCTATGCGTCTCCTCCACTGTCAAATCCACTTTTCCTCCCCATCCTTTCCTCTTAAGAAAAGGGTGGAAAGGGGAAGGGACTAAAATTAGGTCTCCGGCACTACACTCATCAGACGAAACGCGGAATTGCTTCCACTTCACGCCTGTTTTCTGTGTGGTCGTGGTATTACACCGGGCGAGCCGACCCATTCGTGCGAAGATGTTAAAGCGGGCTCTACCACTGTTAACTCTGACAAACATCCATCCATCTAAACTTTCGCATTTATAATAATAATAATGAAGTATGATAATAAAAAGTACAAATAGCGACGGGAATTCAGAGATGGTGAACGCCCATGGACATCCGCAACACCAGTACAGACGAATAATTGTATACTGGTTGCAACTTCGTTCACCTGAGCATGTTACTCAGTGATAAAGTAGGTTTTTAATGTTGATTTTTTTAATCTGTCCAGTGTTTTTGAGTTATACAAAAATACAAATCTTTCCCCTTCATAATATGAGTATAGACTAGTTGTTGCTCGCAACTTCGTATGAGTGAAATTAAATAATAAAAATATAGCCTATCGCTGAGTGTTACTGTAGCCTTTTGAAAAAACGCCTAAGTTCCAAAACTATGTTAAATACAATAAGGCGACGCTTACACATCAAATGCCATTAAATTTACTCATCTGTACCATTTTGAGACATTTACACTAATATTATAAAGAGGATAGATTTATATTTTTCGTATTGAAATAACTCAAAAATACTTGGTCGATTTTAAAAAATCTATCACAATAAAAACGCTACGTTATCGTTGAGTAACATAGGCTAAATTTTCCATTTCACGTGGACGAAGTCGCGGGCAACAGGTAGTAACACTCGTAATGCAAATATAGGTAAAAGCAACATAATTACTTACTGATGTATACAGAATGTGTATTTAAATATCTCCGGGTTCCAATTGAGGTAGAAAACATCGAAGAATTTCAGTATACTGGCGTAATCTATCCAGAAGACTCCGTTGTCGTACTGCGCCGCGCTGTCGGGGTCGTAGCGCAGCTCGCGGCGCAGCTCGCCAGTCCAGTGCGCGGTGTCCAGCTCGCTGTAGTTCCCGCGCCAGCGCAGGTGCGACCACGGGTTCTTTAGCTTTAGTAGTTTCACTCCCTGAAGTTATTTTATCATGAGAAGTGTTCGTCTGAACTAATTAACAGTATTATTGGTTGTTTGAAGTATTTGTAATCTATGATCTTCGATATTAAACAATCTAAGCAACAGCGAAGGCTTCCATTGGCTTACAATTACCGTTATCACGGCAATCTTACATTTTAAGTGGTAACTTTGGACACATTTTTTTTAAATTTGGATAAATTAGCTCCTTGAATTAAATAATAATATAGCCCCTTTATTCTGAAATTATTCAGTTAACTATAGTTGAGTATGGATTAAGTTCACAATATGTCTCTAATTTCAGTGTGCCTCTTGGCATAGGCCTTCCGTAAACATTTCCATTGGGTTCTGTCGTGGGCAACTCTCCTCCAATTTGGATTAAATCCTTGAATTAAATAGCAAAGTTTATATCTAAAAAAATTAAAAAATATACTTTGATTACTGTATGTCAGCATAGAAAGTGCGCGTTCGTTTTATTTACATTTGTATTCAAATAATGTTCGTAATAATACAATACAATGTTCATAAGATAGGGTTTCTTACCACCATGGGGTCGTGGCTCCCGATATTTCACAAGCGACGTTTTGGCTGGCGGAGGGGTAAGTAACTCGTATCTTATGAACACTATTAAAATCGCGACAGTCTAAAGTTATATAATGTGCAAGCAAGAGACAGGAATGAATGGAAATCTCTAGAAGAGGCCTTTGTCGATAGACAAGCTTTTCCGACAAAAAACCAGTTGCCGATAATACAAATGAAAAAAATAGATTTCAGTATTTAGGCATTTAGTAATAATTATAATCAGAAAATCAATAAAGGCTACTTTATTTTATTATTTAATGTGCATCACTAACATTAACACAGCGCACATCAAGGACAGCGTACGCGTGCGAGGGCACCAAGCCAGTGCGCTCCGCGTCAGAGTCGGCGAGCGCGCCAGTGGCGGCGGTGGCCAGCAGGTCGCCGCGCGCCGTGCGCGTGCGCAGCGTCTCGTACAGCGCGCCCGCGTTGAAGTCCGCGTCATTACTGCGCAGCGCGCACCGCTCCGGGATCCAACCCGTCAGCGCGTGCAGATCTATGTTCTGTCATATCCACGTCGGTTAAACCGCAATTTATAATTTTTTTTATAACATAAGGTGGCAAACGAGCAAGCGGCCACCTAAATCCGCCAAAATGGCGAAGCGACCGCTGCCCATTGACATCCGCAATTGCATATGCTTTGCCTACCCTTATCCGACGGAGGAGGAGACGCACATAAAGAGGATATTTCCCTTTCTTACGCATCTCCTCCACCGTCAAATCCACTTCCTCTTCCCATACTCTCCTTATAAGAAAAGGGTAGTGAAGAGAAAGGGACTTCAATTACGCCTCCGGCACCACACTCATCACACGAAACACGGAATTGCTTCCATTTCACACCTGTCTTGTGTGTGGTCGTGGTGTTACTGGGGGCGTGCCCTGCACTGCTAACATGTTAAAGCGGGCACTACCACTGTAATATAATTAACGAATAAGCTCGCGTGAAATTAAAAAAAAGTAGTAAAAAATATAGCCTATGTTATACAGTGATAACATAGCTTTTTAATGGTGAAAGAATTTTTAAAATCGGTCCAGTAGTTTTTGAGTTATATCAATACATACAAAAATATAAATCTTTCCTCTTTATGTTAGTATAGAATAACATTTGCTCGCGACTTCGGCAGCGTGAAATATAGCTTATGTGACTCTCTGATAACGTTACTTTTTTAATAGTGAAAGAATTTTTAAAATCGGTACAATAGTTTTGGAGATATTCCAATACATACAAAAGTACAGATCTTTCCCCTTTTTAATATTAGTATAAGTTAATGTCTCGCGAAAGTTTTAATAAGTTACTTATGTCACATCGTAATTATTATAAATGCAAGTGTTTAGATGAATAAACTGCTGAACGGAACTTAATGAAATTTCGTCTAGATGTAAAATAGTCTAGAAAATACATAGGTTACTGACTTTTGTTTTATTTTTTTATTCCACGCGGACAGAGTCGCAGGCGAAAGTTAGTATATTATAACGTAGCTGGCTTAACGAACATAAAAATTGCTTCTTCTTACAAACTGCTAGAAGTAAATATTATATCGATATCGATAGTAGAAACAACATGTCTAAATGCAAAGTAATATCAAAAATTATTCAATTCCATACATTATTGTTTTTTCAATCAGCGATATCGCTAATCGAGTGACCTACAAATTTAAGTCACTTAAATTATACTTACACTATTAGAGCCGGGGAAATCGTAACCGCCCATCACTTTCATATACGCTTTCTCCAATATTGACACCCAGAATTCATTCTTGTTACTCGAGTACGAACATAGAAGACGACCGTACTTGCTGTAAGGTAGACGATCGTCAATTATTACCTAAAATAAAATCAAACATCAAATACAACTAAAACTAACTAAATATTATAAGCGACCTCCGACTATTTATTCTCCCTTTTTACATCTTGTGAAGGGGGGCTGAAAACCAGCTCGACACTGGATCACAACCAGTATCGGTTAAGCTGAGCCTCCCCCTTTTGCCATCTGTTACTAATTTTCATAAATCTTTCTTATTTTGTGTAACACTGTATATTTTTTTGGATGGCAATAATAAGGTTTTTATTTATTTAAATACTAACACTTTAAGATACTTTTAAAGTGATAATTTAAACATTTATATAACCACAGCTTATATCCCACTTTTTTGCAAAGAACAGTGACGGATAGGCCGGAGTTGGGCTACCCGCCTAGGGCTGGACGGAAAGGGGTGTCAAAGTCAACGAATTACAGTCTCATAAAACTGTTAAACCATCACTTCAAAGCATAGTAAATAAAGGGCGTAGATATCTCGGAGATATCTCGTAGATATCAGGGCGCTAGTACCGATAAAATTACTACCTCTAGAGTGTATAGCTTTAAACAACTTATTTAATTGACACTGTCGCTTTAAACTCAGAGCAACACTTCTCGTCCAGACGCAGGTTGCGCGCCAATCTATCCATACTTCTAGTGACATTGACAGCTGTCAGCTAGGGACGTGACGTTTATGCCGATAATCTAGAGTTGCGCCAATTCTTTAGCATGGTACTAATTTTATTCCTAATAATAGATACTGTTTTAAATTCAAATAAAAATATCAGGAATTACCCTTATTTGTAACTAGCTGTTGCTCGCGACTTAGAATAAAAAAAATGTAAAACAGCCTATGTTACTCAGTGATGACTGAGTTTTTAATGGTGCAAGAATTTTTGAAATCGGCCCAGTTTTTGAGTTATATCAGTGCATACAAAAATCAAATACAAAACTTTCTTCTTTATAATATTAGTTTATGTAACATATAAAAGTTAAGTTGGTTGTTAGTTGCAATTAATTTTCTGTAACTTGGACCACAAAACTACAAAAAATTTAACTTTTTACTTACCTTTCTTCTCACTCCATTCAAATGTAATTTGACCATGTATTTACCAAATGGGTTATATACTGGAACTTTATTCTTATTCTTTGGGTATATAATTGAAGTTATTATTTTCTTATTGAATCGCTTCTCATATAAAGCACTAACAGCCAAAGACGCGACGAAGGAACAATCTGATACTACCTAAAAATAAATGAAGATGTAGTTGCCTTATTTCAAATTTAAACCTAATATAAATACATAACTCAATGCCTCAAAAATTATTAACTTGACAATATTAAATTTAGACTAATTTCCTTTCACTTTAAGAAAAATTATAATAATTTTAGTGCATGGGTTCAAAAATACGCCATTTATTTTAGTTAAAATATTATAGCCTATGTTACTCAGTGGTAACATAGCTTTCTTTTAGGAAAAGAATTGAAATCGGTTTAGTAATTTTTTAGTCTATTAAATTGCAAACAATCAAACCTTTCCTCTATACAATATTACTAGCTGTTACAATATTAAAACTTTTTCCGCACAGAAATAAAAATACTATAGCCTATGTTACTCTGTGATAACGTAACTATGGTATTTATTTGTGAAATTATTTTTTGAGTTATTTAAATGCATACTAAAATACAAATCTTTCCTCTTTACATTATTACCGTAGATTGTAGCCTAGGTTACTAAAACATTTAAGTATACGAAATAGTAAGTAATAATGGCTTACAGTGATATACACTAGGAAAAAATTATCATACTTACTGTCTGTTTTATACTGTAACAATCAACATGTTCTCCGACAATCATTTTAGGATCAACTGATACTTCATGCGGTCGCACCCAACAATCAAATTCTTTCTCCTGCTTAGACGATAGCTTCAATTTGCTCGCTTTATCTTCAAATGGTAACGCATATTGAAACTTTTCCGAATAATCTACATCCATAAATGGTAGAAAACAGTTGTCATTTATATTTGAAGTTTGCCGTAGTACTTCCTTTTCTTCCTCTGTGTAAACTTGCTTGCCCGTCACTTTTAAATGTACACTTTGTTCTCTTTGTAATTGCGCTCTTGGAGAGACTGCTGGAGATTATCAAATGTATAATGTTTTATTTAACTCAATATAAGACTACTATAGATGATATATTTTTTTATAACATAAGGTGGCAAACGAGCAAGCGACCACCTGAAACCGCCAAAATGGCGAAGCGACCGCTGCCCATAGACATTCGCAATTGCAGATGCGTTGCCTATCCTTATACGACGGAGGAGGAGACGCACATAAAGAGCATATTTCCCCTTTCTATACATCTCCTCCACCGTCAAATTCACTTCCTCTTCCCAACCTCTCCTTATAAGAAGAGGGTGGTAAAGAGAAAGATGTTAAAGCGGGCACTACCACTGTATATTTTGACATTGTGATTGTTAACCATCGATGTGAACACTGTGAATGTGCATAAGTGTACAGTTCAACTGTTAGTTGCAATTTTGCTTCCACATGTACAGTTTTTTTGACAGTTTGACAGTTCAATAAATTGGAAAACCTTAGCCTTAACCTTAAAAATTTTAATATGCTATTGTGCTGCTTTAAAAGCACTTAGCAATCTTAGATATAGCACATAGATCAGGTGTTTCTTAACAAATTAATATAAAAATTGTAACAATAGATTGATGTAAATATTTCTTTTAAAGATTAAAAAGATATACAATCTACATAATAGTGTATATTACCTGGTTTTTCAGGTTCATTTATTGACAATGCACTGATTTTCTTGATGCCTTTTAACTCCTCTGCCCTGTCCAAAGCTTGTGCAGCAACATTTTTTACCTTCTGTTTTACATCAGGATCACTTGTATTCTGTAATTTAAAAAAATAAAAGTTACTCCATTATAAGGTTGTAAGAAAACATTTCTTTGTTAGGAAAATAAAGCTAAACCAATAGTGATATTGAACTGAATTGAGGGCGGATCTAGTTTTGGCGCCAAGGGAGGGGGGGTTCACATAGTTGTGGTCAAGTCAAGAGCTTGACAAATGTAAATATATTTTGTCAAGCTCTTGACCAACCAGCTCAGTCATGACTCCCATGCCCCCCCCTGGATCCGCCATTGAACTCAACATGTCTTGATAGTTTGTTTTTCTAGAATTATGTTACCTATACAAAATCCCAATACATCTGATGAATTAGTTACTTTTTTTTGACATTTTTAATTAAAGTGGTCTTTTGTTTGCACTTACCATACTGACAGCCAGTTCAACTGCCTGTGTGTACAACTGTAATGCCAAGTCCTTCAAGCTGGCCTCATCCGCGTCTAACGCTTGTTGCATTAGGAAATAACATTGTTGCATTCCACGCTCACTTTCTGCTTGTTGGGCTCTATCTGGAAAAAATATATGTTGTCTATGCGCAAACAACAACGGAACACGTTCGTAATAGCAGGCACGGAAGGAGTCGCTTTGTGTGATGCTTTTTATTGCAATGAGTCATACTTGGCTCGTATAAGAATAACGTCGAATTAACAGCAATAAACGAATAAAACGTTGAACTTATACCTTTTTGTTCCTGTAAAAAAGTAGCTCTCTCGAGGTACTCCTTAACTTTTTTTCGTATTTCAATTTGCTTTTCTGGCGGTACATGATCGCAAACTCTATCCAAAAGCCTGGCTGCAGTCCTATAACATTCTACCGCTTTATCAACTTGTCCCGTTTGATCAAATCTAACGGCGAGAGAAGCAGCTTCTGTTGCATTTGTAAAATCACTCATTATTTACTATTTTTAACGCTAATCTTAAACAATTAATATAAACAAACATTACACATATTGTCTAAATTAAATGTCAAACGTAAGTATAGTAATATGTCAAAGTTGACAGATTTCATACAATGTTACCAAAAAAACCAAACTTTTTAGATCTGGCAGCACTGTTACTTTACATTTTGTGTAAGGTTGCCAGATATAACAGAATTCTACGCTTTAAGTAGAACTGAACCCGTATTAAGGTTTGGCAGAATATGAGTAAAAAAATTATGTAATGAAACATTCCTGTGACTTACTCTGTTCTCTTATGTAAGAAAACTATTAAAAATCAATGTAACTCTGAAATCAAAGCCATCAATGATGTAATAAATAGCGACAATGTTTGTTAGAAGTTAGAATATTAGTGCTGATTTATTGTAAAATCTTGCTTTTGAATTGTACTTTTACTAGTAGCTATTTTAGCAGAATATTCAATTTAAATATGGCTACACCAATCATTTCTGTCAATGTCTTTGTTGTGCATTCATGAAAGACCTGAGGGTTCTTATTTTAGTAAATTTTAATTCTTTATTTTAATAGTGCGATAATTCAAGACAAATTTAAAGTTTTACTTGTTCTTCATGTGAATGGACTTACAATAGTGTACTGTGAAGTGCATTACATTAAAATTCTTGTGAAATTTCCATTAATATTTTAATCGAAATGGCTACGGATATATTAGCAAGTCCTGGAAGCGAGATACGAGAAAATTTGGTGATTATTTATGATAATATATAATAATTTCACGTAAAAATAATTTCATGCTTACATTAAATTAATAATGTATGATTTACACATAATATATTCAACTGCAAGATTTCGTCAAACCAAGTGACCTTCGTACCTTTTTATTTTATTAGAAGCGTCATAAAACTTTTAAAACTAATCAAAGTGTACGTAGCTCTTCTATTATATGCGGTTAATTTTGTCACAGTCACATCAAACTGAGATCTTGAATGCATCCGAGATTTTTTTGAGTAATTTCATATTATTATCTGTATTTGTAATATAATAATTAAAATACTAATAATATTGTAATTAGAAGTTATGTAAGACATTTACGATTTAATCTGCATGGCAGGATATTGGATGGAGAAGGCAGATCAAGTTTGCAGCATTCTCAAACTGCAAACTTCTGATGTATCATAATTTGTTAAATTCTGTTATATAGCTCTCATAAATTTCTACAATAGGGTACCACTGGTACGCGTGGCATTATGGCCCACAATATATTATTTTGTTAATAATCATAAAAAGACTACAAAAAAAATTATGAATTAGGTGCTTGCTATTCCTTGAAATTGGCCTAAAAATCTCAGTCAAAATTATTTGATGAAACTTCTAAGACTGCATTGAAAATTTATTTAAAAATGGCACTGATATGTATAAATGTTTGTCACCCTTGCTCTAGAAAAACATCACATAAAAATCCAATAAATCTGACGTTGTAGAAATTTAAAATAGAGCAGTATTTTCAGGTAACAACAGCAGTGAAGTTTCTATCCAATCCGAATGTACAACGATGTACATTAGAAAGCAAAGAGCGCTTTTTACGCAATAAGGGCCTGACCGAGAGAGAGATACAAAAGGCTGTAGAGAAATGTGGGGAACTGTTAGATGTACCGTCAATTGCTTCTGACTTCGTGTTCTTTACCTCTTCAAGAAAATCATGGTTAAGAGAACGTATTTTACCGATTATAGTGTATGGAGGATTCATGTATGGATGTTACTGGTTTTATAAGGTGAGTCATTTAATTCTATTGCACACTTTCATACGATGAATGAATTGATGTTTTGAAGCAGTCATTACAAAACATGATATATCTGGATGAAATTTGACACAGAATGATTTTTGTCTGGTAAATTGTACAGGTTACTTACGGCAAAATTTTCTGTTTTAATTCCACCTAGATATAAACCCTGTAAATACTAAAATAAGCTTAAAAAAGCTAATCTGAAATAAAATTCAAATCCGGCGAACATTGCATATTGTATATGCATTGGATATCTTATAAACTGACAGAGAAGTTTATAAACAAAGGAGGTCAGCGCAAATATAGGTCACATATATCACAAGTTTATCTTGACAAGCTTTATATATTTTCATAACATTTTTCTACGTAATTATTGGAATAGGTCACTAAATTAACTTATTATTATTTCTAGACTGTAAGCCTATGTTTTTTATGTTCCTTTCTAAATGATGTTGAAACCTTCCTCCTTTCATCCCCCTTTACAGGTATATGTTTGGGTACTGACACATTTACATATATGTGAAACTGTACCGTTACGACCTAGTCACATAAATGTAAATCTTCCCAAGAACATAAAGTATGAAGCCAATTGAGTTCCTTGAACGTCTATGGTCTTATGGTAAAACTTTCGTAGTAAATACGACAATTCCTTACAATGGTATACATTTTAGAGTCTTACAAATTTCCTTCAAACTTTTTAACCTTGATTTTCTGCCAAAGAAAAAGTACATTACAAGTTTTACAGGTAAATAATTCAATCTAACAGCGGTAATCTTTTTTCGTACAGAGACCTTGACAATTTTTTTCGTTACAATTGCTCAATCATAATGTACCATTACTAAATTTTTATATACCTTGTTGTTGATAAAGTAATACAACTAGAGCATAGAATACATTTGATGAAATAGAAAAATAAAATAAAACCAAAGTTAAAAGAACATTGACTGCTTTACTGGCAATGTAGAACAAACTTAACTACTTCCCAGCCTATTCTTATAAGGAGAGGCTAAGAAAGGAAAGTAGGTTTGTTAGAGTAGACACATAGAACAGGGAAATAACCTCTTTATGTGTTTCCTCCTCTGTTTATTAAGAGTAGGCAACACTGCAATTGTCTATGGGCAGTGGTAGCTTTGGCAGATTTAGGTGGCAGCTTGCTTGTTTACGTTATATTATAAAAAAATAATATTTATTATTATTATAAATATTTATTGATTCTTAAAATGTTCTGTAACGTTTTGGACTTTCAACGTTACTCGGTATCAATATTACGGGTTTTCACACTTGTAAAAAAAAATAAAGTCACTTAGATAAAACTAAGGTAAAGCACAATTATTTCCACAGCAAGATATAGCAAAATTGCTTACTAATTATTTTCGCTTTTTACACCTTTATCTGTCTAAAAAGGTCATTGATCGAAAAATTCTCACAATATTAGAGATAGCCTTGAAATAACAGATAATATAAAAACTATGTAATACAAAGATCCGCGAGTTTATCAGTAAACAATCAAAATTATCTCTGGTCTGAGCCAATCAAATATATAATATTGAATGCAATAATTTTTTATCTATGAACCGAAACATACGATAAATGTGATATTTTGTTAAATAACATATTTCATTTATACTGCAATTAATTTCTTATCTATAAACATTAAAGTGCATCTTAATGTGATATCCCATAACCTCGTATAAATGTAATATAAATTTATGTAGTGGCGGCCATCTTGATTTATTTGCATTTTATACTTTATGTATACTGGTCAAGTTTCATCTGATGCCAATATTAAGACCATGTTACGACAAAAAACATTTTTGTTATATTATGATAAGTAGAGTATATTTAAGGTTTTATTATAATCTAGAACTCTAGATCAAGGGCGGATCCAGCTTTGGCGCCAGGGGGAGGTCACAGTCGTGGTCAAGTCAAGAGCTTGACCAACCAACTTAGGGGGTCATGACCCCCCATGACCCCTCCCCCTGGATCCGCCCTTGCTCTAGATACATTTTAAAATATTCAGTAAGACATCTATAAAATAACTCATTGTATCTCACGATGTTTGACCTTGACGATTGTGATCTTCAATTGTTTACGACCACGCCAACGTCTCGTTGCATTGCTTCACAGTCTGCATTATTCATCATTTAAGCAATGTTCTTCAAGCGGTAATACATTTGTATGTTTCACTAGATTTTATTCGTGATTACGTCTAGGTGAAATTAAAAAATATAGCCTATGTTACTCAGCAATAACGTAGCTTTCTAATGGTGAAAGAATGAAATCGTCCCAGTAGTTTTTAAGTTATTACAATAAAAAATGCAATATCTCCTCTTTATAATATAAGTATAGATTATTTTAGTTTCGCTGTAATGTTTACTGCATTTATATTTTTAAAAAGTACAATAAAAGTTTTTGTAATTTTTTTAAATAAAGAAAATAAACTGTCATTGATCATGTATAAAATAATTTATTAAATGAATTAAATAAATTACATCGAGTATCTATTGTTAATTTTTCACATGCATTATTATAAATTAATATAATAGTGTTGATGTTATCTTGGGATTAATAACCACTTTCACTGACACTTGATACTTGCTATGGGAAGTTGTTCAAGATGACAGTACAATAAATATTGACAGTAGAATAATTATCTACTATTAAATTGAATTTTACAAGTTAAGTATGCATTAAAGTGACAAAATTATTCGATTAATTCTCGGAAACACTTTGGCACATACAAGAATCTTATTACACTCACAAATTCGTAATTCGAATTGAGAACTTTGTATTAAATTTGGTAAAAATGCCTAGATTTTTTGTCTCAAAATAAAATGAGTCTTTGAGTTAGAAAATTTTGATTGATGGACGGATGAATGTTAGAAGGGTATCTGCGGAACGGTTTAACGGATCTTGATGTGCCAAATACGCCACAATCTGGAAGAACACAGACTAAATAAGTTTTTTTTTTTAATTCCACGCAGATACGTGCAAAGGCCAGTGTTAGATATTTATTCTAGGAATTTATCTTTTTTTTACAGAACTGCCTGAAACATTTAATATTCGTTGAAGAACCAAAGCGTAAATCGACCGCGGAGTGTATAGAGGAGCTACGTAAATCTTTAGATGTGTTGAACAGCAGCGTGACGTCACTGCGCAATGAGGTGCAATCTGCGGCACAGCAGAACGCGCTGCGCTTCCAACTCGACAACCTAAAGTCTGATCTGGCATCCGTTAAAGGGATATTGTTAAACAGGTATGGAGTTTTCTACCATAACACAACCTAGGTGTTCTTAAAATGACTAATATCACCCCTAGGGAGGAACAGCGGGTTCACGTTGACGGGAAAATGTTGAGTCTTATGTGTTATGTACCGAATGTAGTAAAAAAAAGTAGAAAAAAGTTCAAGGTCTTGGGTTTGGGTTCGTTTGACATATTATCTGGACGCCATTTGGGGGCATTTTACCTTGTTTGATGCACTATTTCCTTATTTGAGCATTTATGTTGGGAATGTAAGTTACAATGATTGCCAGTCTTCGAAGTTTGTTAGAAAAAAATCGTAATTCCCATTTTTTTTTGTACAAAAAACTTACAGTAGTAATCTGTTTCACTACTTTGCGTCATGAGGAAAAAAAGATTCAAATCGCTTTAAAACACGGAAAGTGTCATGGGCGACAATCTCTTGTTAGATCTATTTGTGATATTAATTTGGTATTTTCGAAATATTTTCTATATTTTTGTTTTTAGATTCTCTAGGGTATGTAACAGTAGTCAATGGTATAAGTGTTTGGTCGATCTCGGAATGTTTTCTTTCACAGAAATCAATTCCCCTCACTCAAAAGTCGCACAGAGCCGCCGTCTATCCCGGCGTGGCAGCGGCAGTCAGAGGAGGCGACAGCCACAGAGGTAGTTGCAGAAGAGAAGAAGAAAACGCACCGCAGCCGCAGCCAGCGCTCCGAGAGTGGCGGCTCCAACTCCAGCGAGGGGGAGCACGCCACCAAGAATAGTGACAGCAGCCTTGAGATCATGTGAGTATACTGTTCCACTAGCCTAAGTAAGCAGCCGGCAGCCGCACCAGTGGAAATAAAACTATTCCTAGAATTAGCAATCGCGTTAGAATTGTAGCATTTATTTGGAATAGTAAGTAACTTGACTTTTAGCTATGTCACGTATGACTAAAACTACACAAAAACTTTGAGTTATTGTAGTTTGATCTAAGGTATATCAGTTCTAAATTTCGTAATTATCATCACATCCATCCATAAATTTACTTTTTTTTAATGTCAGTAATATTTTTTTTTCCAGTACATGAAGATCTACACCATAGTTGAAACGTTTAAATTATTGCGATATTAATGTGTGCGATCTGTGAGCTTTTTGGCGGGAAAATTGTGAGTGCAATGACAGTGACGGATGCAGATTATAAAAAACTATGCTTTTTGTTATCTTTTTTAAGTGATTGTGTTATATAAAATTATTTTGTTTTATTTTGATGTTTTTTTTACAACTAACTTTAGCGCGTGCGGAATTAGAAAAATCTAATATCTATGTTCGTTGGTAATAATGTACCTTTGTAATGTTTCCATTTTGAAATCAGTATATCCAGTAGTTTGTGTTTATATAAAAATAAAAATCTTTCCTCTTTAAGAATAGATTAGGTAAGTTCGTAGTGTACAATATTATTAATTAAAGTACACAATGTTAAAATGATTTTTTAGTATATCTAGATTTTTTTCTTAACGACATTTTAGTCAGTCGTTTGTTAAATATTTGGAAGTATCTAGTTTACAATTTTTGCCTGTTTAAATAGAATACAGCTTCATTATATTGTTTAAGAAAACATTTTGTTGTCGATATTTTAAGAAACTTATATTCAAGATCTATGATTGTTTGAACTAATTGGGGTTATGTGAAATTATTTGATAGGCAGTTAATCAAAATTAACAGGTAATTTTTAGATGAATCCAAGCTTGCCAATTATACGCATGTTTCTCCATTTTGGATTAATTTGCCGTTGAGTGAATTTTATTTGCTAATCTATTTAGTTAATACAAAAATGTTTGGGCTAAGGAAAATAATTGTAGTTTGCATGAATTATGTAGCATTTCATTGTTTGTGAATGTTAATATATTGTAATTTGTATTTATATTTTTTATCTTAGTAAAACTGCTTATTTTCTATTAAGTATGTAAACTTAGTAGATAACTTGGTGACTTCCTAAACTTGCTCATCTGTGACGTCATTAGTGTAAGCATTCCAAAGTAATGTAATAAATAATCTGGGTGATAATTAAACCAATGATATCAATTAATATATGTTTTATTTAACCTACAAATCTTTAAAATTCCGCCTAACGTAATGTATGGCTTTTAACACTCACTTTTAATTTTAAAAAAATAAAAACATGGCGGCAAACTGCTCACCTGTTAAAATGGCCGAACAAGGAGAAAAAAAAATTAAGTTTCAGGTAATTATAAGATTGTGACATGTGATATTTCACTGTTATATTATGAATCTGTATTTGTAACTTTTATTTTCCTTACTTTCCAATAACTCGATAGTTTTAGGTTATTTTTTTTTAGTGACATTTTGAGGTTATATTTATTACGGAGATATAAATAAAAGACACAATGATAATATTATCTATATTACAAAAATACATCACAAGGTATATATTGAGCGTAGAGTCCTGTACGACAAGAGAACACATCCACTTCAACTGGGCTGAGATCAACGAGAAATATAAATATATCAACTTGAAGATAAACATCGAATCGCTTCCAGAGTCGCGGCCGAACATTTTTTAACCCCTGCTTATACAAAACTACAAAAATATGCTATTTTAGTATCAGTGGCTTACGCAATACAATATCATATCATCTATTTTGTTGCGTAAGTCGCTTGGAGACTACAATCGCAGATTTGCGTACCCTTCTGTACGAAGGGGCATACTACCCGTAAAGTTAACAACCATTACATGTATACGTTTTTAATAAAAAAAAAACATTTAATCAAGATTTTTGCTGTGCTAATATATAAAATTTATGTTATTTGTTCATCTTGTTACCCCGCCATTCTTTAAAATTGCAAAAATTATTCAAATTATGTTAGTAAAAATGTTTAAAAACCTAATTATAAACAGTCAGCCGCGACAAATGAAGCTGTACATATAAAAATTTCTATAATATATTGCGAACCATGGCACACCAAGTCAACATTCATAAACGCTGTAGACCACACTCTACTCGAAGGATATTGTTATATATTCACAGTAGATACATAAACGGATATTATCATCCTTATTACAAATAAAAAAAAGACAGACGTATGTGTTCAAACTGACAGCAGAGTTATTATACAGATGTTAAAATTATACTCGAACTGTTGAATAATCTGTACAATTTTTTTTTTTTCAGAGTATGACAGACAATATTATTTTTGCATAAATCTAACCCGTACAAAACAAAAAAAAAACAATTTTTATTATTGCACTAAACATTAAAACTTTTTTAGAGCATGGTCTACATTCCGAAAATTTTCATCTTTTAAAAATAACCTAAATTTAGACAAAATGTTTATTTCAATACACCAAATACGATAATATCTCTGAGATTACACGAAGAATAGACATTCAATAGAAAAGATGAAAGTGCAGAATAAAGTTGCCGTTTCGACAGAAATTATTTCTTTGTATAAATATAATATATCCAAATTGATAAGCAATCATATTTCTATATAGATAATGCGTTTACAATAACAACAAGGTACAAATGACCACAAAAATATTATGTAAATGTATGCATTTGCAAAAGGTAACCCTTTGCGTACAACACTTAAGCTAAACAGATATCATAAATAGTCGGGATTGCTATATTTTAACAATTTCTCATGTCCTGCATATATTACAACACGAAAAATCCAAATTATTTTTTTATCTGTATGTTTCAAATAAGAATGTGATCAATAACTAATTAGTCAAAAAACGTTAGAAAATTACCTAACCATTTTTCTTTACTTTTCGGAATGTGCAGTTTAAAATATATCAAAAAAAAAAAGAGTTATCAAAATCGGTCCACTAACGGCGCAGTTATGCCGTAGGACACAAAAAAAATAATAAAAAAAACATACAGACGAATTGAGTACCTCCTTTTGGGAAGTCGGTCAAAAAGAAGTGAAAAATGTGTTTTTTTTAACACACCTCACATTAAAACGAAAAAATATTTGCTTATTTGTTATGTCTGAATTAGTAAATTAAAAAAACACAAAAAAGTGAAATTAACAAAAAAAATTTCCCCAAGATAGTAGGTTAAAAGCTAAAAAGAGATTTTTTCAATTATTTTTGCATATTCTTATTTGAAACGCGTAGATGTTTTAATTCTTGATATTAAAACTATTGAAATTTAGGTTCTACTAAAATTGACCTCCGGCACAATTTTGTAACATTAAACATATTTCAGAAGCTTAATTTGTTGAAATAACTGATTACAATAAAACCTTTTTCTCGTTCCAATTCTTTTCACATCTGATAACAACATCTTCCTGTTTGACACTCAACAATTTCTTGGCCCTCGACAAATCTTCTATAAAACACTTACCTTTCTCCGTCCTCATAATCTGTTTCTTCGGTAACAAATTCTGTGACAGATAAGATATAAGCTTCTGCCAATCCTTCAACAGTAAGAAGGCTTTATCATGTCTGGTCTCAATCGGTAACTGTCCATCGGAGTGTTCAAAAAGTACATTAATCACATCTTTTCTAGTTTTATTACTTCGATTCGCTTTTATCATAGCCAATACTATATTATCCACATCTCTATGTGCTGTTATAATCGGTTTGTCATATATATTGTTATACAAGTTAGTTTCTTCAGCAGGACCGACTATGTACATAACGTGGGTCGCAATACGGAAGGATTCATTTGCCCATATAAATGGATCAGCATGTGAGGTACTCGATATATCTCCTTCGTACATAATTTCAAAGCCGTACTCAGAACGCAGATATGTGATAAATGAGGCAACACATTCTGCATGCAATCTATTTGCTGGTGAGTAAATAACTAAAATTTTCGGTGGCGATGGTAATACGTAAGCTGTAACAAATATGACAATTTAAAAAAACGCGTCGTTGATAGACTAGCTTTTTATAGTGACTTTTTGCATGGAATTAAAAAATCTTAGTAAACAGCATGTGATCTTCCATTTTATGTTCAGAGAAATGTAACAAACATTTTAATTAACATCATAAATGCGAAAAATTTAGATGGATATTTGTTAAGGTTAACATATATTCATAATAATAATAGTAAATTGGATTAAGGGCCCGATTCAAAAGGCGTTTATTTTAGAAACCGCACGAATAGTGAGAAGGTTCCTGTCTCTGCAGCCCTGATCACTGGTTGCTTGAGTCATCGGATTCCGCAGCCGGTGGACTTCAATTTTATATATAATATGTTTTATTTTGTTATTTTTTTAAAAAAATCATGTGAAATATATTATATATAAAAATAAGAAAATAAAGATATGAGAGAATAATAATAGTTACAATTTTTCTCAACAGACATTATTTGTTTCATGTGATATGTTGGCTTCCTATTAGCATACTAATGTTATAAATGCGAAAGTTTAGATGGATGGATGTAAGAGTTTGTAAACGGCTGAACGCATTTCGATGAAATTTGGCATAGAGGTAGTCTGGAAGAAGACATAGGCTACTCAGTTTTTTTTTATTCCAGGCGGACAGTCTCGGGGGAAGACTAGTGAACAAATATAAATTACTCAATTGATCTTAATGAAATTTCGCATACACGTAGATTAGTTTGGAAGAACACAAAATTTTTACTATATTAAGTTTTGTTTTAATTAATTACCAACGAAGTCGCGGGTAAAATTAACAATATTTAAGATGGTTGAAAGTGAAGGATTACATAAATATATACAAATTACCTGGCGATTGCTTGTACTCAGTGCAGAAGTAACGGCGCATTACACGTAACGCGATGTAGTACGCGAACAAAGTAGCAACTATGAGTGCGGTGATGCTAGCTATGCAAATACTCAGCTGTTGCACCTCGTTAGCTGTAAAACAATTATCTCATACTTAACATTCATATTTAGTACTCACTTTAGTATGTAAACATATATTAACGTTAGAAATACTTTTAATATTGAAAATATCTATGGTCAGTGGTCAAAAAGAAAATATTTTTTTTTTAGTTAGACATCAACCGATTGTCCATTGCATTCTGAAAAGTGATCTAAATTAAATATACATTGGAATTGAACAAAACTCACTGATTCTTATCCTTGGACTCTCCATATATTGACAATCTCCAGTTTCACTACACTTATCATGTAGGACTGTAACAACATAGTAATACGACCCGGATTTCTTCAACATTGACGTCTCGTATGTTACTTCTTGTAGATTATTCTTCAATTTTATCGTCGTATTCGCTACCAAATCGTCCGCTGTACATAATGTTTCTTTATCACATTCTCGAAACACCGCTATTTGGTATGCGTTAACTTTTAAATGAGAAGGCGGTGGTACAACGTGTAATACCATTTTGTCCTTTAATATCTCGATATAGACAAATGGTTTCCATTCATTAATTGTCGCTGATGGACCTGAAAAGATTGTTATGTTAAGACTAACTGTTCATGTGTTGCTTCATCCACATGTCATACAAGAAATTTTGTTTTAAATTTAAACAAGATGGAGAAGATTTTTTGAAGTAATTGCGACATTATTGTTGCGAATTTTGGTGGCGGCTTGCTTGTTTGTCTTATTAAATGTTCATCATCATCACCCTTCTTATCCTACTCCTGTAGGGTTAACGCGGCATGTATTTGTCCTCCACATAATCTATCATACATCATCTGTCATCACTCCCTTTTTGATCATGTCACCTTTTTGATCTGATTTATTGTTATGATATAAAAAAGCTATTTGTCATTCGTTGATACTTTAATCTCAGTAAGGTTTTGGTGCCTTCTCCAACAAATTTAAACAATATAATCAGTAAAATGTCTTTAGCTTCAAGATTTTTTAATAATCTCAGGTAGAAAATCTATAACAAAGTGTTAATAAAAATAAATATAAAACTTACTTAACATCTGTGGTGTGGGTATGTTAAAGTAATATTGTCCTCGGTTAACAACAACATCATCAGTTGCCTCAAAATCCAGAATATGGCTCTGTCCGTTGGGGTTGCCATCAGAGATTGGCCAATAACAATCATAGTAGAACATGGATTGATCGTTGATAGTCACATTGTTTGATATCACTATATTCCTACAATGATTGTCTGAACTCTTCTGCTTCAAGAGTTGAAATCGAAATTTCATAGCTGAAAAAAAATTGTCATTTTTGTAATATCTGGTTATTTTACATAATTATGTATAGTAGAATAAATACATAACTATTTTCATTAATGTTTCTATCTTCCAGACAAAGAGAAATCTTACTAATATTATAAATGCAAATTTGATTTAAAGACAGGCATGTAGGCCTTTACAAATCAGAAAAATTCATCAATACTTACTTTTCCATTTGATATTACTGAATGTTATATTAAGAACTGTATGGTTGACCACATAAAATGAACCCGAAGGGGTAAAATGTTCATATTGGAGACTATAGGGCTTCAAGCTGACACCGCCAATATGTGCATTTGGCGATATCAATGAAAAATCCATGTCTCTACACTCTAGACTGTCGGGTTTGAAGTATTCCATCTGGCATGAGTCTTCTGTGTAATCATGGCCCAAAACCTACAAAAAAAAGGAAAATAACGTTTAAGATTAAAATATGGAGATTGAATACATAGTATAAGCTCCTTATACATCCACTGTAACATAGAAGTATAGCTAAAGATGACTGTTGTTCTTTTTCAAAAGGTTTCTGGCACTTCTCGACTTCTTCCAAATTCGATTTATGCAATCACTCTCATCGATATAGTTCGGTTCGATATATCAAGGTCGTATTGACAAAAACCACCCCTTGTATATGCGACTCTTTTAGGATTAGCGTACTGAACCATCTTATTGCGTCGTCAAGGTTGGCCACTCAATAAATCAATAAAGGGACGATCTCTACTAATTATACATGAACAAAACTCACCTGAGTTGTACAACTTCTTGTCTTATTATCGCATAATTGGCTGTATCCCATAACATATTGCATATAACATATAAAAACGAAATAAAACAAATATCTTGACATCGCTAAAGCAAATAAAATAGTGTAATTAACGTTTGAAAAGGCGACTTTTAGTCATATCGAAAAGGAAAACCTTCAATACATTGTAAAATACTGATAAAACTCATAGAAGTAAATAAATATGTAAAATGATTACAATTCCACGATCATCGATCTAAAACGCAATCCCGAACAAAACAACAATATGGCAATAATAATATGGCTGCCAAAAAAATCGACAGATTATGTAATGTTGTCCTATACAAAACAAAAAAAACTGGTACGATGAGTCATCGCTAAAATATTTTCACAAATGCTGGTAATACAGGTTAAATATTACTTTTAGTTAAGTCACAAAATTTCCATAAAAATACTCATATTCCTTTTTCACTTTTCCACATAAATACTTGGTGAAATAATAGGTTTTTGTCGAAAAACAAAAAGTTATGTGAAATGGTACGGTAGAAATTAGATGACATTGGTAATGGTTTCGAAAAAGATTTGGCAACACTCATTGTTTGCTAAATCAAAAGCAAATAAGTACAGTGTTTTGAAATAATTAATAAAATGTTGCTTTTAAAAATTATTACCTCGTATTTATAACTCGGGTAATATTAATGGTACTAAAAGTAAACCATGTTATTAATGTTACGAACATAAGATAATAAATCAACGACGATGACTGTAAGTAATATAATTTCCTAAAAAATCACTTAGGACTGCCATTTATATCTATTTAACTAAAAGGATGTTCAAAACATGTTTATATCAATTCTAATTGAAATTAAATATCATTAATCAAATATTTAGACTTAGAAATTTATGTAAAATAGCAATGATTACAACACAAATATATCCCACTAGTGGTGGCTTTTTGCGATAACTCTCTTGTTAACTATGTTGATTATTATTCCCTGTTGTTAATGGTTGTGGGATTAAATGGGTATTAAGAATTTCCAGTAATTTAATTAAATTTTCCATCTGAATTCTGTAGAATAGTTTGTTGTGACTAATAATAAAACACCTGGTTAAATCTTATTTTAAGTTTAACATGTTTTTAAAATATGGATTACATTAAAGTTTGTTTTTAAATGGAATAACTGATAAACATAACTGGCCAGTAACATACAAATAATATTTTTTTTTTATTTTATAATAAATATCAGGCAACACTTTGATGTGCTGGAACTATAATTTGACCTCAGATAATAGGTCAAGTATTTTGATAAAGATTGCAGTAAGTACCATAGCTGTACTACTATGTATAGCTAATGTTTGTAACAAAAAATTAATGCAAGCAACCAATTACAGTAAATCCACTGAAAAGTGTTTAAAATTTGTGTTAATAATAGATTTGTAAAAGGACTTATAAACTTTTTTATTCTATTACAATTAAGTTCCTGAAAACCAATTATGAATAATAATGGAAGTGCGAGTTAAGACTATTTAAGTTTTGATTTGAATACACTTTAAACTATTATTAAAATTAAACACAGGCTTTGTTCTAGAATGTACCTAGTACATAAAACACTTTATCACAAGTCGTTTTAAGTCAATTTGCACAGTTTTCTGGTCGTTAGTAATGTTGATAAAATAATTTAACAGCCATTTGTATTGTTATGATTGTACCCTACACATTTTACATGTAAAATATTTAAATCAATATTTTCTCTATTTCGTAAGAATGCAGTTTCTTCACTTTAACGTTCAGATTTGAAATTTAATTGTGAGTATGCAAGTAAATTTTTATTAGTCGTAAAAAGATTACTTTTAATTATCTCTGATTTTCTTTAGTTGGATTTTTAATCAGTTAAGTTAAAGTATGATTCTTAAACTGGAGAATGTCGAAATTAACGTATGTATTTTTTTTAATAAACTAGTGACAATATATAATGTTCGTAAGATACGGGTTTCTTACCAAAATTGAATTGTTTTAGCTCCCGACATTATATTTGTAAAAACCACGACAGTTTAAAGTTATATAGTGACAAAATATTATTTACACTATATTATGTTAATACTTTTACATAGTACTAGTTGTTGCCCGCGACTCTGTCTGGAATTAAAAAAAACTCAATTAGTAACAGATATTTATTTCTATAAAACCTTGAATACAGTCGCGAGAAGTTAGTACAATATAAATAGAAATATCGTAGCGCAGTTTTATTGCCCCGAATGTGTCAGTAATTGCATGCGTCAAATAAATTGAAAACTAGCTCTTCAATAACACACCTAAATTGGTCAGATAGTGTTCATGCAACTTTAATTGAAAATAATAGCTAAAGATTGAAATTGTCTATGCCTAAATTACATCACACTGGTACAAAACATTTCAAGTAAGAATCGAGATCGAAAAAATATTTTCGATCTTCAAAAAAAAAATTTTTTTTTTTTCATTTATATATCTAGATATTTTCGACAAATCTTCATTGATACGCACATTCTAAATAAAACGTATTTATATTTAGATGTGCATTTAAAAAAAAAATAAAGGCCGCAGACCGCGGTCGTAGAATCGTTACTTTAGGGAGCGATAGCCCAGGGCGCTAGACAGAAAGGGGCATCGTAAAAATCTCGCCCAGGGCGTTAACAGATTCCGCTAACTTTTACCTTTTCTGAATATCAAATCTCAAATTAAAGTATCTCTACTTATCGTCATATCCTAAATGACGTTACCATTTGTAATTTGACTACAACGAATGCAAGCGTTGATACAACAAACAAAGAAAACAAACAAACAAACGCACATGACATCAGTCGAGCATTTTGTGTGCAGTCTGTACCGCTAACTGGAATCATGCGTACTGGATATCTAGTAAGTGTTGAATTGTTTTATTTTATAATGGTAACACTATAAATACAAAAAATTATATAAAAAAAAATTTTAACAAACCGGTTCGATAAAATTTTACATTTCTATTACCATTGTTTTATGCAAATTCGAGTTAATGAATCGGAAAACGTGTTTAATTTTTTTTCTCCCGTCTAAGAATATTTTTTTGATGACTCCTCTTTTATTTTGTTACATTTTCAATAAATCAATATTAATAATAAATATTTTTTTGAAATTCTGTAGTTATAGCGTAACACCTGTAGGTTTGTTTTCAAAATAAAATCAATTCAACCAAATAGAATTCACTTTCTTTTACGATATTTCATAAATTGCATAGTATATATATCTATAATAATAGTATAAAGAGAGAGAGAGAAAGATTTGTATTTTTGTATATATTAAAATAACTGAAAAAGTACTGGACCGATTCAAACAATTCGTTCACCAATAAAAAGCTACGTTATAAGTAAAGCTGTTTTTTTATTATTTTTTTAATTTCACGCGGGCAAAGTCACGAGCAACAGCTAGTAAAAAAAATATTAGCCGCAAAAAAATATTCTAATAGGACTTGACTAAAGAAATGTTTATGAATCTAGTGAAGCGTGTTAAAGATAAGAAAAATGTTTAAAATTACATCATTATGTTAATACTGATTATTTGAAACATGCATTTGTGTGTTAAATGCAAAAAATATTACTTATATTGTTAGGCAATTAGTTTTTTTTTTTTTAAATACTGTTCATAATGAGCGTGCAACGTAGCTAATGAGACGAATAAAGAGGTGTTTATTATTTAACCAACCTTTGGTAGATCAAAACATCAAAAATCGTACCCACTGCGGTACCAATACGCGAACGCATTGTGTTCCGAATTACCGCTGGGAGCACGTCGCATGTTATCCCCTTTGTGTTTAAAAAGTTGCATAAAATAAAAGTTTATAGTTTAACGAGATTTTAGAGACATTGAAGTTTAAATCTGAATATTAGCAATATTGGATGTTTTTAAATTTGATATTTTCGCTAATACACTTTTAAGAGTTCAAAGTACATCAGTGGACGTTTTACCAGTGGAACTTTAGAGAGCTGTACACAAGTGGAAGTTTAGAGTTTCACTGTTGGAAGTTTAGAGAGCTATACACCTGTGGAAGTATAGAGAGTTGTACACAAGTGGAAGTTTTAATTGTATTTCGTTGTGTCTGTAAAGTGCGATGTCCGCATTTGTGCAGGCGGAGGGCCGGGTGATGGGTCGCCGGTTTGTTCTAACATTGGTGATTGGGATCTCTGCTGGGTTTAGTTTCGCGTACATACTGCTAACCTCTTCTGGATTCACGAGAGAGGTCGCTTGGTACACCCCTACGAACAGGTATTCTAAATAAGTGTCTGCATGGTTTTGCATGTACAAATTCAGTTTTTATTTTTATGCGGATGTCTGTAATGTAAAATGTTATGGTTTCAAATGTATTTTATGTTATATATTTGCTATTTTTTCAAGTTACAATTAAAATGTTATATAGTACCTCTAGGGATCCGTTCAGATAACCAAATATAAAGCGGAGCAGATTTCTAATCAATCTATACATATAATAAAATTGGAGTGTCTGTGATATCAAAAGAAAAATTCCATATTTCGGGACGATGATCTATTTGCGTTGCTGATAACGAAAATTGCATTTTAAAAAAAGGTGTCTTCCTTTTTGTATGTTTGTCCGCAAGCCGCGTTTATTCCGGGTAATGTCCGAAAACGCTGAAGAGTAGTTGACATAGACGGGCATATTATAGGCTACTTTTTATCTTAAAATTGCGTGGACGAAGTCGCGGGCAATAGCTAATGGCAAATAATATTTATTATTATTTTACTTTTGTCTCTTACGCTTGTTCGTAAAGTAAAATTAAACCTTGTTCGCATCTCATAAAGCTCTTTTTTGTTTTTAAAATCTGTATTTCTCTTGTCTAAACGGATCCTACGTCTTCATCTTGTTCCACTGCTAGATATATGCTAAGCTATTTCATCACTCAATCCAGCTTTAATCCACTTTATCCACATCCAGGCCAGCACCTTCTTATCATGACATTTGGCTGGTCTTCTAATCTCTCCTCTAAGCGATTTTTTTCGAACATTAAAAAAGGTCCTATTTGAATATTTTCTTGTTTTAGTAGTTTTAAAAATATTTTGTACACTCAATTGGCTTAGTATCAATTTTGCCTTTACTCGTTAACATGAGTTTAAATAGCTAATATCTTCCCTATCAAGTACATCAAACTAATATGCGAAACTTTAGATGGATGGATGTTTGTTAGAGTTTGTAGCCGAAACGGCATGGATTTCGATGAAATTTGGTATAAATGCAGAGGATAGTCTGGAAGAACACATAGGCCACTCACTGTTATTTTTTTAAGTCAACGCGCACGAAGTCGTGGTCGAAAGCTAGTGTTACAAATAAATGTATTGTAATTATAATATGGAGTTGAATTATTTACGAATATAGTTAAAAACTTTGAAACAGTGTATTCGCTGATAAAAACAGGAAATGTTTGATGTAAATGCTATCGCTATACATAGTTAAGTAAATGTTATTTTGTGTATCGACTTTACAATAACGATGTGTTAATTAAAATGAGAACTTTATCTTAACGGGTTTCCGTTGCCAAAACACATTCGTTTGAGACTATCATTATTCAGGCTTTAGCCTATGTATTTTCACGCCATTAAACTTAGGGGTAAACATTTTGGATAAAAACCCTAATGTAGGAAAGAGACCATAAGTTGCTGCCAACATCAAGAAAGCAAGATTGCTAAGGTTTGTCATGTCATGTCGACATTTGCTATTAATAATTTGACAAATGTGAACAATAAAATAAAGTGTTTACAATTTTACGCGGATGAATCCGCACGCGAACAGCTAGTATACCATAAATATAAATACTAGCAATATTTCAACTATGAATTCTTTGACTTTTTTCCTTTAGTTAATTCCAGCCATGACTAAAAATTCATAATGAACCATTAGCTCACCTAATTGCTGTAAATTAGCACTAATTACCGGTTAATTTTGTTGTTACAGTACTATTTAGATAAGTATAATATTTATAAACACAATACAAAACAAGTAAACCAACAAGCGCAAAGCAAGCTTGGGTACGGACTACCGATCAAGGTCGAGGGTTCGAATCCCGGTATTCGATTATTGTGAACCATATCCTAACAAGCCTAGAGCTTAGTTGGAATGGTTAAAGGAAATATTACTAAAATAACAAAAATCTACTAATGTTTTTCTATAATAAAATGTATTTTAACTATAAGTTATAAGTAAGATTGTTTTGATAAGTAACGCCAATGTCAGAAATCAAAAGTATGGGCGTCCAAATACGTGGACAAGGGTTAGAGTCTCGCCATTTGATTAAACAGTTCATAATAAATGTTATATAGGTACACAATTTTACTGCTATTAACTAAATAAATGCATAGTATTGTTTTAGTTTTATTGTACGGGTTTCTTTTGTTTTTTTTAAATAACCGATTTTATTACATTTTACGCAAAATGGCATGATTCAAAACATTAGTATCGCAAATATAATTTTCTATATAAAAAATTAATCGCTTATATGCTACTAACAAGTTCAACTAAACTGGGTTATAAAGGTAATCGCTCATTAGACATCTAGACTACGCATCGTCTATCACTCGACAACTCGTAGAGGCGGTAGCTGAGCGGACGGGACAGACAGAAACCAAACATCCGACTCGTTTTAACCCCGTGATGACGTTATAGGGTGAACAACAGTCACTGCCTAATGAGCCATTATTTTAAAGTCTGTTAGTTCAATGAGCAATGCATGCGACAACGAATGGAGGAAGCAGTCGTGCGGCGAAATAGAATAGGGTTCAAAACTTCAAATATAATTTCAGGGAGGCAGCTAGAGATCTCGACAAGCATCCGTTACCCAGTATAATAGAACACGGTAGCGAGGAACCGGTACACAGAGATGAGGACAGATCGATTGCCGAGGAGATGTCGCGGCGAGTACGCGTGCTGTGCTGGGTGATGACGCAGCCCAGCAACCATGAGAAGAAGGCAGCGCATGTTAAAGCCACGTGGGGCAAGCGGTGTAATAAACTGCTGTTTATGAGCACAGTTGAAGGTGAGTAACAATTCGATGCGATTTTTATAAAATTAACTAATCAGTTGTGCAGCAGGGAACGTGTTAAGCGATAAGACGACTGCAAACTTCTATTGTAGATGATAGAGGCAGTAACTTGTAACAAAGTAAATGATCTTTATTGTATTAACAACAAGGTTAATTTTGTAACGTCAGATAGTTCGCTGCCAGCAGTGAAGTTGCCAGTAGAGGAGGGTCGGGATCACCTCTGGGCTAAAACCAAAGCTGCCTTCAGATATGTATACGAACATCACCGGAGAGACGCAGACTGGTTCCTCAAAGCTGATGATGACACGTGAGTTGTTTGGATAGAGAGGTAACATGGTGAATGTGCGGTGACCTTTATAGCGGAAACTCACGAAATACAACAAAACAAAATCTTTTTTTTTTTTTAAGTAAGCTAGCTAGAAAAAGTTAATATCCAATTCGCTTGACATTTTTAAAATCAAATATTTTAACAAATACGAGCAATGCTATCCCGCGTTGTAGTTTCGTATGACATTGGTTGTTATTTGGCCGTTATTGTTAACCAAAGACATTAGCATCACAAACATTCAGTTTCGTCTCGGCCCTGATCGATAAACACCATTGTTTTCTTATCTGGCGCTGAGAAATATCGACAACGAAATACAAGAATATAACCTCGGTGTGAATGCGTTTCAATTATATCATGAAAGAATAATCTGGAATGATCTGTGTACGTACACATAAAGCGATAATTTATTGTATTTAAACCAAGTATAGTGTAAAAAAAAAGTAACAATTATTAAAAATGTACCCCAGTAGATTCTACCCAAAGTTTTTTTTATCTATACTATTATAATAAAGCGTAAACACACACGTCTTTGTTGCCAAAGATGTCAGCAATTATATATTTTTCGATAACTCTTCCTTTAATAAAAAGCACTACATTTACGTTACGCTTTAGGCTATATATTTTCACGCCATTACACTTAGGGGTAAACATCAAGGAATCAAGGTTGCCATGGTTTGACATCATGTCATGTCATTTTGACATTTGCAATTGATAATATAACAAATGTAAACAATAAAGTGATTTTTTTATAATTTTATGTGGATGAAGTCGCATGGGAACAGCTAGTAAATGTATATTTACAAGCTAGGGCGTCTCAAAAAAAGCGCCCCAGATTTACTCGTACTAAACTCATGGTGAAAAAGATGGCGGAAATAAATCTCACGCAGAGCCCTACTACTAGAAGCGGCACTGAGCATGTGTCTTTATACTCATACTAACTGTTGCTCGCGACTTCGATCGCGGGAAATTACAAAATGTAGCCGATGTTACTCACTGATAACGTAGCTTTTTAATGGTGAAAGATTTGAAATCAGCCCAGTAGTTTTGCAGTTATTTAAAATATAAAAAATAAATCTTTCTTTTTGTTTTATTTGTATAGATTTTATGATTTTGTCACTTGTAGGTACGTTGTGGTGGAGAATCTTCGCTACATGCTCGCAGACTACGACAGCAACGAGCCGATGTACTTTGGTTGTAGATTCAAGCCTTTCACATCTCAGGTTAGTCACACTCAGAGCGGGCGCACACCTTTGACTAAACTATCGCACAACCGTTGTGCGATTGTCGATTGTTTCGCAGCCTTCAACTGTTTAGTTGTACTAAAAATCGAATAATGCGCGCCTTCATATATATATAAGCTTATAGAAATCAAAGCGAGACTAAACAGTCATGCGATAATTTAGTCAGAGGAGTACGCGTTTTAACACGTTTTAACACTTCCAGTGTTAATATATATAACCCTTTACACCTTTTTTCCTCTTTCGTGTCTAACTATGCGATTTGTATACACCTCCACTACTGCTGTCGATTATTTTAGATAAACTTTTTTTATGTTATTTGAAAGATCTCTCTTCGGGCTGTATGACATTTATATATTTTTTCTCTAGCATGACTAACTGCGCAGAACAGCTATCTCGGTTCTTGTTTAAGGGATGTCATTACTGAGTTCTAGTGTTTCAAATCAGTAGTTTAGTGGACAGGGTGTATTTAGAGAGGTGGGGTTGCAGGGGTACATGAGCGGGGGCGCGGGGTACGTGCTGAGCCGCGGCGCGCTGGAGCGCTTCGTGCGGCGCGGCCTGCCCGCCCCGCACCTCTGCAAGCCCTCCGACCACGGCGCGGAGGACGCAGAGATGGGTAAATTACAGCGTACACAACACTACATAAAAACACCATTTTTACATTAGAAAATACGAGTAATCGTCCACCGGAATTCGCCAAAACAGCGAAACTACCTTTCATCTACAGAGGGTGAGACGCACAGAAAGAATTTCCCCATACCTATGCAATCCGCGTCAAATTTAATTCCCCTTTTACGAGGAAGACAGAAAGGCGAAGACTATTAAAATAAATACTTCTGCACACTTATCACTTAAAAAGAAAACGTGAAATAGGTTCCGCTTCAGACTTGTCTTGTGGTATTACAACAGACGAATAGGAAAATTGGTATAGATACTGAAGAAGTCTAATTGCCATTTGAACTAAATGTGAATGTAAACAACATTCATGTAAATATATACAAATGTCTATTTCAACGAGAATAAGACATCAATACGTATGTTTAGACGATTTGAATATATCTGCAGGTATCTGTCTGGAGCACATCGGCGTGAAAGCGATGGACTCCCGCGACTCGCAGCGCCGCGGCCGCTTCTTCCCCTTTGTACCCAAACATCATCTCTTCCCCAACAAGGATAAAAACTTCTGGTATTGGCAGTACATATACTACCCCTCTGATGAGGTAAGACTTATTCATTATTTATTTTTTTTTAACATAAAAGTTAATATTTTTACTTGAAATCCCGCTCGAAGGACCAAACTATTGAACATTCTGACTTGACTGTTGATTAATTGGTTTAAGCGGTATTTTAAAGCAATTAAATCTAACTGTTTTCGCCCGCGACTCTGTCTGTCTGGGATTTAAAAAAAAAACAAGTAGCCTACGTGTTCTTTCAGACTACGCTTTAAACCTATGCTAAATTTCGTCGTGATCCGTTCAGCAGTTTGGGCTACAAATTCTAACAAACACCTATCCATCGAAACTTTTGCATGTACATGCAAGTAAGATTGTTAAAAATGTTATATAGCATCTATTTTTACAGCAATTCCAGATTTTCTGGAATTCCAGATCAATTTTTTTAGTAGAACAAAACCTGTTCGTTTATATTTCAGGGTCTAGACTGTTGTTCAGACCACGCGGTGTCATTCCATTACGTAAACCCCGAGGAGATGTATGTATTAGATTATTTGATATACCATTTGCGGCCGTATGGTATACGACTGGGCGCCGGGGAACTGCCGCGCATACTGCGCAATGACACCACCACCGTTGACACTCAGTAACTGTTAACACTAACTATAGTAACTATTGGTAACTTTGGTGTTAACTCTTGTGGCATTCAGTAACTTTGATGAATCTCATAATTGTGATGACGCCTAGTAACCGGTGTTAACTCAGTAACTGGCGTTAACTCAGTAACTGGCGTTAACTCAGTAACTGGCGTTAACTCAGTAACTGGCGTAAACTCAGTAACTGGTGTTAACTCAGTCACTGGTGTTAACTCAGTCACTGGTGTTAACTCAGTAACTGGCGTTAATTCAGTAACTGGTGTTAATTCAGTAACTGGCGTTAACTCAGTCACTGGTGTTAACTCAGTAACTGGTGTTAACTCAGTAACTGGTGTTAACTCAGTAACTGGTGTTAACTCAGTCACTGGTGTTAACTCAGTAACTGGCGTTAATTCAGTAACTGGTGTTAATTCAGTAACTGGTGTTAACTCAGTAACTGGTGTTAACTCAGTAACTGGTGTTAACTCAGTAACTGGTGTTAACTCAGTCACTGGTGTTAACTCAGTAACTGGTGTTAACTCAGGAACTGGCGTTAACTCAGTAACTGGCGTTAACTCAGTAACTGGTGTTAACTCAGGAACTGGTGTTAACTCAGTAACTGGTGTTAACTCAGTAACTGGTGTTAACTTAGTAACTGGTGTTAACTCAGTAACTGGTGTTAACTCAGTCACTGGTGTTAACTCAGTAACTGGTGTTAACTCAGGAATTGGCGTTAACTCAGTAACTGGCGTTAACTCAGTCACTGGCGTTAACTCAGTAAATCGGTGAACGGAAGATGTGGTAAAAATTACCATTAGCTGATTTTATTTATGTGATAAGTGCGGACTCGAATATTCATCTATAAATACAAATATTAAAAAAAAAATATCTATTTTAAATTAAAAATAAATATCGTTTAGTTGTGTTACTCGAGTTCGTACTGAGATAATTATTTTTTAAACAATCATAATATATTATAAATAGATCTGATAGATTATATTATTTATAAGGAGATTTTATTGTATTTATTTAAATTGCAATATAAAAAGACAAAACTTGACAAGGTAAAGTCAAATGATATAAATGTAGCACTTTTTAAAAACATTCCATTTGTTAAAGTTCCGTTTCCATTGCATTTAACTCACTGATAAATAAACCATAACCGTGGATTCACATTGCATACATCGAATTTAGAAAACTACGATGTAATCCCTTTTATCATATTCTTTTTATAATTCAATTAAACGTCGATATTAAATATTCAATAATTTATTAACTATACCAAAAAGAAAACCACATAAAATAAGCTACATTTTATAATAATGTTGAAATAATCTGATTATTTTAAACAACTGCTATTATTTATTTAAAATATTCTTCTATATTTATTTTTTAATAAACACTTTAATGTGTTATTTTTTCAACAAAATAATACCAAAATAATTTAAGCATAATTTTATGTTTTATTAAAAAAAAATCTTTGAAAATACTTTCGTAAGGAAAACTTTAGATATCTCAAGCCAGCATTTAAAAATTCCATTTCATTATTTAAAAAGTTTTTTAAAATTTATTTTTCGTTTCAAGATAATTCAAAAAAAATTCAAAAATCAAGATAATTTTACCATCGTATGAAAAATATTTCAGTAATACCACGTGTTTTTGTATCTTTTAATAAGAAACTGTAGATATTCCAGTACAAAAGTCTATCTCTCTTACTTCCTTTTGAAAGACAAAGATAGAAATGTTCTTGTACATGTTTCGACAATCGAAACAGTTTGTGTTTGAATCACATTTCGTCTACTTTTTATAAAGACATTTCACTTATCCAGTTTTAAATATATTTAAAATATCTATTTTAGGATTTTTTAATTTACATTTTGTTCCTATAAATGATTTTCATTTAATAATTAAAACACGAACTAGTCGTTAAGTTAGATATCTTACCAAAGAATTGTTAAATTTAAGTATACTTTTGTGTTTCCATTTTCAATACATTTGTACAACTATCTCTGTCATTCTCTTGTAAAGGAAAGAGACAAACAGTACAAATGTATGGGCAGTGAAACTATAGCCTTACCAAGAAAATATAAGTACTCTATGGTCGCTTCAGACTTTTTTTTTACTTTTTTAATACGCAAAGATGTTATTTTCTTTTTTTCAGCAATATGGCGACTGTTTTTATATTCCTGGTCAGGCTATAAATTACATTGTAGATAATTTTTAAGGCCTGTCCCACCAAATTGTAAATTGTCTGATAACAAAGTGTAAAATGTAATGGAAATATCGGATTTTGTTCCCTTATCTGACTGTGATGTCATTTTTAAGCTATCTGAGCCTCTATCAGTCAGTGGTGGGACAGGCCCTTAATTTTTTTAAATACTAGATTCGTTTTCGCCATGATTGTAATATAGACGGAACAGATGTTATTTAAATTTCGATTTTCTTTTCGTATTTTTTTAAATATAACTGCAAAAATATAGTTAAGATTTACTATGGTAGATAATTGTACATAGAATATATAAGTTAACCTGAATAGTAAATTTATTTAAACGACTAGCTGTTCCCGTGCGACTTCATCCGCATGGAATTATGAAAATTTTATTTTATTGTCAAACTTTCAATTTAAATGTCAAAATGACATGACATGACGACAACCTTGCTTCCTTGATGTTGGCAGCAACTTATGGTCTCTCTCCCACAGTAGGGTTTTATCCAAAATATTTACGCTCTAAGTTTAATGGCGTTAAAATATATAGCCTTAAGCGTGATGTAAGTGTAGCCCTTTTTATTAACAAAAAAAAAGAGTTGTTCAAATATATGCTGTAATTGCTGATATCTTAGGCAACAAAGAAATGTGTGTCTTATTTGATAATTGTAATTCTGACATTATTAAACATTCCTTCTACAAGACAAAATAAATTGACTATTGAGGTTATGTAGATTTTTGCAAAAATGTGGGTAAAATCATAACATCATTTTTACTTTTATATGAACTTGAAAGAGTTAAGCTATAACTGAAACTACACTCAGTCGCTCTTCAAAGGGAGCTCCTTAGTGTAGTGTTTACCATAACTCGTACAAGTTATAACTGTCCAGTTAACACGGTTCAGTTATAACTGTACAGTTAACACGGTTCAGTTATAACTGTACAGTTAACATCATGCAGTTATAACTGTACAGTTAACACAATTCAGTTATAACTGTACGGTTAACAAAAATCAGTTATAACTGTACAGTTAACACAATTCAGTTTAAACTGTACAGTTAACACAATTCAGTTATAAATGTACAGTTAACACAATTCAGTTATAACTGTACGGTTAACAAAAATCAGTTATAACTGTACAGTTAACACACTTCAGTTTTAACTGTACAATTCAGTTTTAACTGATGTTTGTTAACTTACTCAATTCAGTTTAACTGTGCAGTTGATCTGAACCTTTTTAGTGGGATTAACTTACGAAAACAATTAAATGTTGCAAATAGATATTTTTTCTTAAAGAAAGCTGTTTTTCATTAATTTCATGTTAAAATTAACATTGACATTTTTATAAGGCTTTTTGATTTTGCTCATTTAATTAGATACTTTGTGATTTAAGTTCTATTGCATTTTGATGGAAAATAGTCATTTTAAAATATAGCGAACTGGTAACACGAAGATTTTCGAAAAAGTATTTGTAACGTCAATGAAAAAAAATCCTATGAGATTGGTGTAATTTTCTACCGGTAAGGGCGCTGTAAAAATATAGTACAACTTACAAATACTTTCTCGTCTTTCGTGATACCTCTCGACAATTGTCACTTAATGTTTATGTAACTCGCATTATTTTTTATTTGCTCAATTTATTGTATTTTTTTAAACTGCAATAAAGTGATATTACAAGTTGAATTGATTTATTTATCCTCCTGTAGGGGATCCATTCACTTATAGACTAACCGTGGATAGATGTAGAGCATAGTCTAGAACACAGGCTACTTTTGTTTTTTTTTTTAATACCATGCTGACGGGGTCGCGGCCGAAAGCTATTATCTTAATAATCAAATATCTGTAAACTCCACTATTCGCTCTATAGCACTTCTGGGAAGTTATTTGCCCCATCAGAAACGTCTGTTTTCTTGCGTAGATTAATTTACTAGGGTACATATTTTTTTGGATTAAAAAAGATTGTCAGTTTTCAATTTTATTTATTTTCACAAACAGCAAAATTACATACAGATTAAACTAAACAAACTATGCATAAAATAGAAACAAAAAACCTATTTAACTTTCTATTGGTAGTATTTAGTAGTAAATAAACGTTATGTTGTGTAAATTATATTACAACTTGTAATTAAGTAAAGAGTTCTTACAAATACTTTTACAGAATTGCCATCAACTGCCATAAAACTATGGCATATGTTAAAAGCTGGCGCCTTTGACTAAACTATCGCACGATTGTTGTGCGATTGTCGATTTTTTCGCAGCCATTTTAACTGTTTAGCACAACTAAAAATCGAGTTGTGACGCACCTTCATATAAGCTTATAGGAATCAAAGCGACTAAATAGTTGTTAATGTTGATGCGTTTAGTCAAAGGTAATAAATACGCTCTTAATGTAACTTTTAACAATCCTCACGCCTGCGATGCAGACGGATAGGCAGGTAACAGCTAATAACTAAAAGAAAAATGTTTATAATTATACATAATTAAGTACTACATATAATTAAATAGCTCTTACGTTATCATATTGAAAAGTACATTTTAAAGACCAAGGGCCTGTTCCACCACTGGCTGATACAGGTTCAGATAGCTTAAAACGGCACCTTCAGATAAGGGAACAAAATCCGATATTTCCATCACATTTTACACTTTGGTGAAACAGACCCTTAAACTTTAAACATCAAACATGGACATTACTTCAGAAAACAAGTTATTCAAAAAAAAAACAAGAAAATGTGTAAATCGCAAAATTGTGACTTACGACAATCTACGTAGGAGCCATCGAATTTAACTTACTATATAAATGAAAATAACTCATTTCTGTATTGATCTTTGAAAACCACAATTTAGTTGCCTAATATGAGATATTTTCAAAATTCCTTAAGGAAATAATTACATCAAGAACTTTAAGAAAATGATATCTAAATTATTTTTTAAAGTTCCATTTCTTATAAAAGTAGGCGTTTTAATTAAATGTACGCAAAGAGATTATTTTTTACCGCAATATAGCATTTTTTTTATATTTCTGGTCGGAATATAAATTTAAACAAATTTGACACATCTAGTGTGCTATTTCTAACCGAAATAAATAACCTAATTTAACTAAAGTATGACAAAAACGTACTAAAAAACTGTCAGGCGGCGTGACGTCGCTATAACGGAAATCATAATGAAAATTACTTAAAAATGATGTTTTTTTTACAAAAAAATATATGACAATAAGAAAAAAGGGAAATCATTATTTTTGGATTTTTGAATATATTGAAATTTCTCAAAAAAATACTGGACAGAATAAAAAAATTCTTTTACCATTAAAAAGCTAAATTTTAACTACTTAGTTTCACGCGAAGTCGCGAGCAATAGCTAGTTTTTTTCATAATTTACAGTGAAAGACATGATACTGCATATATTTGTAAAGAAATTCAAAGATACGTGTGAAATCTACCCATAATAGGTTAACATTAACTATGACCTAGTTACCCCTAATTTAGGGGTTTCAGTAACTATAATTTATCCGTAACAATAATTATTTTTATACAAAAACAATCTCTAAGATTACAAATTTATTAACCAAAAAAAAAATCCTAAAGGCCTATAAAATATAAAACGAGCAGAGCAAGCTTTATTGGCCGAAATAGCGAAACTACCATTGACATCTATTGCCGATACATTCCCTATCTTTAGCAGAGGAGGGGACAGACTAAAAGATATTTCCCCTTTCCATGCGTCCCTTCGTCAAATTACTAGATTATTTTGAAACCCGCATTTTTAAAGATCAAGAAAGGTTTAGTTTGTATAAAATTTAACAAATCTATACTGTTATAATAAAGCGTAAACACACACTTCTTTGTTGCCTAAGATGTCAGCAATCACAGCATATTTTTAAATAATTATTTTTTCAATAATAAGCCTTACACTTACGTCACGCTTTAGGCTATAATTTTCACGACATTAAACTTAGGTGTAAATATTTTGGAAAAAAGCCCTAATGTGGGAAAGAGACCATAAGTTGCTGCCAACATCAAGGAAGAAAGATTGCTAAGGTTTGTCATGTCATTTGAAATTTGCTATTGATAATTTGACATATGGAAACAAAAAAATGATAAATTTTAATAATTAAGTACAAAATTAGGAATACAACTTAATTCTAAGCATATTAAAATCATTTTTGTACTTTGAACAAGTAATTACATAACAATATGTTGTGAACAAAATCACATTTTATAAAAAAACTTCCTCATACATACAAATTATTTAAAATACCTTTATTAGGTATTTTATTAACTTAAATAACTTTAATTAAGTTTACAATAAATTGATATAAACAATAAGAAAATTATCAAACTCAATATATTTATTTGGGTTGCTAAAAATAATTGTAATTCGAAGTAATAACTAAACTGTTTTTTTTTGCAAAAAATCAATCTTATTCTAATGGTAAAGTTTAAAGTTGTATTTCAAATGTCACTGAAAATAATTTCTCTTCTTTCTGGCAACCCTGTAAAAGAAATATTTCATTAAAAAAATATATGAACATGTAGATTTTTAATTAGCGTAAAATTTAATAAATAAATACTTATAATAACAATATTGAGTTTTAAAAAAAGTGTTATACGTTATTTTTTAGACCATTTTAATCTATACTAATATTATAAAGAGGAAAGATTTGTATTTTTGTATGTATCGAAATAAATCAAAAACTACTGGGACGATTTAAAAAAATTCTTACACTGTTAGAAAAGTAATTTATCTGTGAGTAACATAGGCTATATATTTTATTATTAATTTCAGGGGGACGAAGTTGCGAGCAACACTTAGTTTTTAGAATAAAAACTTGCGCAAATTTTACGCAAATACAACAAAAGAAATGGACTAAAGTGCCTTTACTTTCATCGTTTTAATTAACTAGCTTTTGCCCGCTACTTCGTCCGCGTGAAATTTAAAAATAACAAAAAAAAAAACATAGCCATGTTACTCATAGATAAAATTCCTTTCTAATGGTGAAAGAATTTTAAAACTGGCTCAGCAGTTTTTGAGCCTATTCTTTACAAACAAAGGTTTCATGAACTATAGATATAGTTTCATAACTATAGGTATAGATAAAAAGGATTATTCCCAACCGTCACCTCGCTCTGTCCCCACGTTTTTCCTGTCCCAACTTTATTCTCAAGTTACATCAATCCCACTTTTTACTCCCACTATCACCAATAAGGTGACAGATGGAACCGTTGTGAAATAAAATAAGTTCTAACCGTCCCCTTATCGCAAAAGGTGGGACGGATGAAACTTTTTATTCTCATCTGTTACCACGTGGGGATAGAGGAGTTTGACAGTTGGGAATAATCGGATAAAGAAAGCGTCTGTGTAGACTTACCCTGTGTCGGCAGGGGAGAAGAAGAATCCCCTGGGCTTGGGGGCGGCGGCGAGCGCACGCGGCGTGTCGGCGGGCGCGCTGGGCGGCGCGGGGCACGCCCACTGCGCCCAGTAGTCGCCCGGCAGGTTCAGCAGGAGCTGCATCACCTGTATACCAAATTAAAATTTATATGCAAACCAATCCTATTATCATACCCATTCCAGTGTGCCAGTTACTTGCATGTGCAAGAGCGTCGGAACTGTGAGGGTAACTTTGTATTTTACCTAAGATTCAAATCCCGTCATCTAATGCCTAGTTTTAGTCTTTTAACTTTCTATCCCTTTCTTTGAGAGGAAAGGATGGGATAGAAATGTGGTTTTGACGGTAGAGGAGACTGATTGGAAAGGGAAATATTCGCTTTATGTGTATCTCTCGTTGATGAAGGGTAGGTAAGGTTTGGGAAACGGTCGCTTCGCCATTTCAGCGGATTCAGAAGCCTGCTTGCTTGTTTGCCACCTTATAATATATAAAAAACATGTACAAATAATACTTTTGACGTTCTTACGATGAAGGAAAACTATTATTTTAACTCGTAATAGAGAGTGGTTAGTTCCCTTAGTGTAGACGAGTCCCATATGTGAATATACGTAAATTAGTGTATATTCTGAGTTCCTTAATGATGTTTTCATCATTAAGGAAGGATCACTAACACTGAACATGTGTGCGGTGGCGCTGTACATCTCCGCGGCGCCGCTGGCCAGCCCGTAGCCCACCACGCCGGGGGCGAACATCTTCGCCAAGTTGTCTACGCCCATCTCGCACTCCGGGCTCTCCGACACCCTGCACACAAACAAATATTTCTTATATAAGTGATTCATTTTAACACAGTATGTTTTTGTCTACTAAAGTAATTAAGATTATAAAAAATTATATACGCTACCATCTGCCTTCCAGTCATTTTTTTTATAATAAATATGTAAATGCCTACAATGCTTAGAAACCGACATAGGTAGATTTTGTCATTAATAAATCTTATAATAATGTAGATGAATGTTAGAGTTTGTAGTGTAAACTGCAGAACGGATTACCATAAAGTTAGTCATAGATGTAGAACATAGTCTGGAAGAAGACATAGGCAACTTACTAAGATTTTTTTCAAATCCGTATAGTCTCCAGGACGTAAACTCAATTAGATCATAAATTGGATAAGCATTCTCTTTGGAATAAAGCAGTATTTTTATTACTATCCTTTTTAAAGTATTGTCCCCGAATTATAAGCTTCCCCCCCCCTCTCATATGTAGACATAGAAGATCTGAAGGTAACCTATGAATAAGATGATTTCAGATATGACCGATGATGCATTTAAGGGTAAAACACAGAGCTAATGCAGATAGTGACAGGGAGCAGGGAGGCGGCGTACTTCTGCAGATGCAGCATGAGGAAGGCGAGCGTGTCGCGGTTGGGCTGCGGCAGCTGCTGCAGCGCGTGCACGGCGGCCGCGGCGCTGTCGGGCGGCGGCAGGCGCGCGGCGCTCACGAAGTCGGGGCGCAGCGCGTGCGTCACCAGCGGCTCCCGCAGCGAGCGCAGGAACTCCTTCACGCAGCCGCACACCGTGTGCACCTCCTCGCCCGACAGCTGCGGCGACCCGCAGCCGCGCAGGAACCGCTCCTGCACACACACACACACTCTACAATAAACAAGCGGAATTTCATAAAATAGCGAAGCAACCACTAGTAACTTAGCTAATTCAACGATTACTTAGCAGTTTTGATGCATTAATTGGGGCCGTTCAAGTATTGAATGTCATTAAAATCAGGGGTTATTAGTAGTAAATTATTAACAGTGACAGCCCGTTTCGCTTTTTGGCGAATTCATGTGGCCATCCACTAGTTTACCACCTTATCATATAAAAAAAGATGTCTACAACTTAAGGTTTTACAAGAAACAAACGAGCTTCTCAAAGTTAACGAATCTGCAGTTTTTCTAGTATTGCGGATGTCTATGGGCGTCGATGATCACCTCGGTGTTTCTGCAGCTCGTTTGTACACTTGTTTTACAAATCATATAATGTTACCTTGAGTCGTTTGACGTCCTTGTCGAGTGCGCAGACGCGGTAGATCCCGCGCTCGGTGAGGCCGCGGCGCTCCACCTCGCTGATGCAGTGCACCAGCAGCGCCGGCACCATGGGCGCGGCGCTCGGCGCGTACTCCGCGATGCTGCCGCCCTCCTGCTCACACACTGCCTGCTCTATACCGCCGTCCCGCTCTCACACGACACACACTGCACACTGCATACTGCCGTCCCGCTCACCCTCTTGCTCACACACACTCACATTGTATATTGCCGACCCGCTCGCTCATATATAACCCTCTTGCTCACATACACTCAGACTGCAAAATATTGTCCAGCTCACTCATATATGACTGAGAAGACAGCCGTGAAGTGGAAGTAACTTTAAACAGTGGTAGAAGCCACTGTAACATGGCCTTTGTAGTTTAAACGTGCGAGTGGGAACAACGTTGTCCCCTGTTGTCCCCTCCCCTGCGTACCTGGTGCTGCGCGCGGCCGGGCGGCACGCAGGGCAGCGGCAGCAGCGCGCGGCACTCGGGGTGCGCCTGCGCGCGGCACCACTCGCACTTCACACCCACCTTCGCGAACTTTATACTGAAACACATACAATACATGCTGAAACTGTGGAATATCTCTATGTAACGAAAATATTACTTACATTCTATTTACATTATGTCATTTTTTAAAAAGAGCAGGATCTAGTTAACGTAAAATGTAATGCCGCGGTCACTGGGCACGGGGCACAGTGGACTGAAATATCGACTTACACAGACATTTTCACCTGATGTTTTGAAAGTATATGTAAGCTACATTTTTTGTTGTCTCACTTGTTACAAGTTTTGCAGCACTTTTATTGTCACAAAAACAAGCTACAATTGAAATCTTACATACATCAACCTTAAAGCTAGTAAAAAAAGAAAATGTGGCAATAGGCGGGAAGCTCAGCTAATGCAGATACGGCGCCGGCCGTTTCTGCGCAGGCTTTCAGCTGGCCCCTTAATGTAGTATTAATTCACGGTTTACACTTGGCCAGTACAGTTGGTCAGTACCGGTCAATAACTGGATTGTCCATCAAATGACATAGGGTAAACGTTAACCAGTGAGATCATACAATCCAAATGTGAACCGAGCAGAATTTTATATGTCTGTCTGTGTGTGTGTGTGTACTGACGTCTTGCCGCAGGGCCCGCACGTCTCCCGCTTGTAGAAGTTCTTGGCGACGAAGTTGTGTTGTCGCAGACGCGCGCGCGGCGACGACACCAGCGAGGGCGTGCGCTGCGGCCGCGCCCCCACCCCCGCCCCCGCCACCGCGCACATCGGGCTGTCTGATGCGCTCTCGCTCTCTACACAGACGAACACTATTTTACTAATATCGTAAATACAAAAAAAATTATGAATGACATTAGAAAATAATTTTCTCAACTGTGCAAAGTTAGACTGAAATTTGAAGTAGAGCAGCAATAGTTACATGCCCTATGTACAAATCATACTTCATACTGATATTATAAATGCGAAAGGTTTAGATGGATGGATGTTTGTTAGAGTTTGTAGCCTAAACGGCTGAACGGATTTCGATGAAATTTAGCATAGACGTAGAGGGTAGTCTGGAAAAACACATAGGCTACTTATTTTTGTTTTTTTTTTAATTCCACGAGAACGGAGTCGCGGGCGAAAGCTAATATAAAATAATTTATTTATCCTCCAAAGACAGGCTAAATAGAGAATAGTGGTATGTTCAGGAAAGTTTAAACACCTATGGCTTATCATTATTTCCCTCAAACCACAACCAAATCCTTTATACTTCTTCTTTTGTTTTTGGTATTTTTATGGTAGAATATAGCTTCATTTTTAAGCGCGAATTTTCGTGTTATACCCTCAATGTAAAGTTTAGTTAGACATTATTCTGTGTGTATGTGTATGTTGTATGGTGTCTTACCTGACTTAGGGGGTGCGGAGGGTGCGGTGGGCGGCGGGGGGGTGCAGTGCACCTCAATGGGGTGGTGCCGTGCGGAGCGCGCCGGCGACTTGCGCGGCGGCGGGCCCTCGTCGCTGCTCTCTGATATCGGTTGCTGGAAATAAATATTATAACAGGCTATAAGGGAATAAATAGTAAATTTTGTACAAAGGGCCTTAAAATAAATTATAACTAATAAATTATAAAGATGAAAGTTGTTTTTGTATGTATTGAAATAACTCAAAAACTACTTTGCGGATTACAAAAAATATTTTATCATTAAATAGCTACGTTATCAGTAAAGTAAGCTATAGTTTTCAATATTTTTTAAATTCAAGCAGTCGATATCGCGAGCAACAGCTAGTTAAATATAAAACTTGAAGACTTACGAAGTTCTGCGGCGGCTTGAGGTCCTGGCAGGTGGGGGCACGCTCCAGCGTCAGCGTGGTGGTCGCGGTGGCCAGCACCTTGCCGCTCTGCAACTCCACCGTCTGGGACATCGTTTTTATATTACAAGGTGTTAAACAACCGGCTTGTATTCGCCGAAAAAGCGAAATAACTGCTGCCTATACACATCTAACAAAGCGTTGCCTTATCCCATAGTTTGGACATTTCCCAGCTACAATTAGTTAGGATGGATGTTTGTTAGAGTTTGTAGCCTAATCTCTTAAACAGATCTGGATAAAATTTGTCATAGATGTAGAAGATAGTCTAGAAGAACACATTGATTACTTACTTCAGTTTTTTTTAATTCCTCGCAGACGGAGTCATGAACGAAAGCTAGCTTTTTTCACACATTTCATCATCCTATTTAATACGCCTAATGTAATACTCGCCACTTATCTTCTGTAAGTGGTACATTGCAGATTTCCTTGTCTGTACCCAGTTGTTAGTTACCTTGGCAACGGATGATGAAGAGGAGCGTCTCTTCTTGTTGGGCAGCTGTTCGCGCGCCGCCCACTGGCCGCGCTGCACCCACGACCGCCGCGTCGACGCCAGCGACAGGTCCAGGTCGTCCTCCGAACGAGAGTACGACATCTCCGACAGCAGCGTACCTATGTACCACCATTGTTAGAGAAACTACAAACTGAATTAGTAATAGAACAATCTTGCAAATATTATAAATGCAAATGTTTAGATAGGTGTTTGCCAAAAGGACTGAATGTATCTTAAAGTCAGGTAGAGCACATAGGCTACTTTTTTGTCTTTTTAATTCCGCGAAGACAAATGCACGGTCAAAAGCTAGTATTAATTTAAATAATCTAGATTTATTGGATGAATTTCTTATCCTAGTCAAACAGAACACTTTTCTCACTTTTGAATTCTAATTTTTTGAGTTTTTTTTAAGGTCATAGAGGCTACAAACTCATGGCATTATTTTAAAATGTTGAGAGTTAATATTAACTTCAAAATTATCAGAGGAAATTATGCAGACCGTTTCCTAAACATAACCGACGCAAATGATAACTCTATTAGGTAACAATCAGTCGGTCAAAAAATTAAAATGATTTAGTACCAAGTTTCAAATTTATAAATACGTATAACCATATTAAAGGCCACTGTAGGATCAAAAGTCAATTTAACTATTCATCTAAAATCCCGTACATAGCTAAAAAGGACAGATCAAGCAGTTTTTAATATTGTAACGTAGCAAAAAAGCGTTGTCTAAATTCGCCGAAATAGCGAAGCAACCGCTACTAAGACATCCACAATAGAAAATCCGCCTTTCAATCAACAGAGGTTACACATAAAGACGATATTTCATATGCATCCTCCTTTCTACTTTAACAAATAAAATGCTTCAAAATCAACCACAAACCAAATAAAACCATGCTTACCTCACACAAGTTGCCATGCTCTCACACTTAGTAATATAAATAATACCACCTAGGAGCTCACCGGTTGAGTTGAGTTCCGGTACACCGGTCAGTTTGGCGTTGTGGTCTTGTTGTGCGGTACCATTTAAGAAGGCCAGCTTCTGCAGTGTTTCATCGTTCAGTTTCGCACGATTGTCATTGAAGAGCAAATCCCTTGCCATATCTAAGAGTTTGCTCTGAAATGTGCCGGAAAATTTAAGTTCTAGATTCTAAGACAACTATAGAATATGTGAAAAAACAATTTTAACTAAAAATAAAAACTACTTTCACTACAAATATTTCCAACTTTTGGAGCTTTACTCAGGATAATTTAAAACTACTGGATTGTTTTTGTTTCATAAAAAAAAGGTACCAAACAGCAGTTACTCTGTATAATACAAAAAAGATTCATGTAAATCAGATCATAAATAACAGTGTAACAACATAAGAAACTTAGCAAATTGAGAAACTCATCATTTTTTAAGTCCGTCAATAAAAACTGATATTGGGCTCAGGCCGCTTACATATTTAAAAAGAAAAACTATACTTGACTTTTGTTACTGTATCTTCCTTGGCTTTTATATAAAAGTGATACATTATACATAATTTTTCTCTAGTATCCAAAACTTTACAAAAAAACTTACCTGTTCATTGTATTTTTTCAGATAAATATTCTTCTCTCTTTTCTCACCATCCAACATTTTCCTTACATGAGCAAATTTTGCTTCAGATTTTGTTAGAGTTCTATGAGCTTCATCCAATTCCTTCTGCAGTCTCACTGCCTCCGCTTCCGCAGTGGCCCATTGATTCATCACCCATTGCATTTGATTTAAAAATGATAGGAACGCTAGAAAAACAAAAGATGTCTGTGCTTTAATTCAAGATAATACTTATCAATAATTTGTTGTTAAAACCTATATGATATATGGAATTACTATTACTATAAAACAACATTTTAAAAGTCAATTTCCAATAAGAGTGTTTTAAGATAGGAATGGACATTAATTATTACAGCATCAAATAATAAGGTTGCTGTTTTGACTATTTGGTCATAAGTATACCATGCATTCTTTAACCTTGCTATTTGTACACTGAAGGTAGTCAAAATATTACTTAGCGTCTTTCTGAAAATAAACACACCATACACGAGTAACTTGCTAATAATGTTACTTTGCTAAATGCAAACATTAACAGTACTTACATTCTTCTGCAGCTCCATCATTAAGTACATTATTCAAACGATTGATATCATCAAACTGGGCAACCAACGAAAGAGCAATACTACCAGAATCTGAGTTATCCGAACTCATTTTGATGTTTATTGCATTTATTCTTCACTAAATAACAGAATTATTTAACACTTTACAAATGTTACACATATATCGCATTAATAACATGAAAATTGTGAATTTAAAGTTTCAAACAGAAACTATGACAAAATCAAATAACGGCTGTCGACCTGTCGTTTCCGTCAAGTTTTCGTGTCGGTTCCATTTCGTTCAGTAACGCAATCAAAGATAATGAAACTAATTTGACTATTCGCATTAGAAGTAATTTAGATGTTTAATGTTAGCTAATTTAAAAATTGGTGATTTTAATTTGGTCAAATAAAATCGTTGAATGAAATGGCTTGCTTACAATTTATGTTTTACAATTTAAACAAAAAAATTAAGAATTTTAGAACGAAACTAGAATGACAGTTGAAGTTACGCGACTTTGACATTTTGTTCTGCATGGAATATTATTGCTAGTCTTTGGACATTTTCCCTAATTTAGGAGTTTGTAGGTTTTAACATTAGGGATAGAAGGAAGGGTATGAATAGTAACTCGTTCAGGTATAATCGATTTTCAGATAACAAAAGGTTAGGTATTTTTTTTTCACGCAATGATTGCTTTGAAGTCTTGTTTTATTTAAGTAAGTAAAATATTTTATGCTTTCAAAACGTTTAAATCTGATTTGGGAGAATCGGAACCAACCGTCTGGTAACCCTGGCTGCGGTTGGGCCGTAAGGGGTCGGGCCGGGACGGGCAGATTCATCAGTTGAAATCTGTCAAAGCGCAATGACGTTTCGTTGAGGACGGTGGCTGCCGTGCGGGTCGCGAAATCTAACGTATTGTTAAAACATTAATTGCTTTCAATTCCTTGGCGGTTAATTTCACGTCGCGGTCGCCATGGCGGACGAGGAAAATAATTGTGACGATAGTCCTGGTGATTTGAAAGCGGGGGAAGGTCTTCGTTTGCGGGGCCGCAAAGGTGCCCTGAAGAAGAAGAATGTTTACCTCGTAAAAGATCATAAATTTATGCCGAGGTTCTTCAAGCAGCCGACGTTCTGCTCCCATTGCAAGGATTTTATATGGTGAGTTTGTATTTACACTTTAGCTCGCGTATTACGAATTCGTACAATGGTTTATGGGGAAATTAAAAATAGGCTATTTGTTTACGATGAAAATGAGTGCGGTTTCCGCGCAAACCGCATGATAAGCCGGACAAATCTTTATTATTTGAAATATTTGGTCCACGACAAATATTGTTATTAAGAATTCCTATAATCAATTAAATATAAGGAAAACATGATATTAAACATTAAGAGTATCTATATAATATATGAGAGTATCTCTAAAAGTAAATTTAACTAAATTGATATTATATTAGACAAAGAATAAATCTTAGCTGATAGATAAAAGCATTTGAATTTTATTTTAAGTAAAATTTAAGTATAGATTTTAAATAGATTAAGATTTTTTAATCATTCAATCATTTTTAGAATCATTATAAATTATAAGATATACAATAATTAGCGATTTCATTTTAATTATGATATAAATTCATTTATTAACATTTTAAACACTGCAGTTTTTATGGAGCCACGGCTAAGTCCAGATAGATTTTCAATGGTGGTCCAATTCAATGTATCCCCATTGGATAATTGGTCCGCTTTGATGTTTAAATCTTCAGCCTTTCATAGCATTCTTTTTTCACATCTTTGCATTTTTCAAATCATATAAATTTCCTACCTATTACAAATTTGTAACAATTTAATATTTCCATATATAAAAAGAGTATTACTGTAGGTTTTTACTGCCTTTACAGAAAGACATTTTTATCTTTGTCCAGAGATAAATATGTTAGCAGTAGAAACTCATTATTAATAAGATATGGAACATAATGTCAAAGAAATGTATTAAAAATCATGGAGTAATTCATTCTTGCTAAAAAATAAAAATTGAAATTTATATTTTTAACAATAGATGGCGCTTTTATTTTGATAAAAAGAGAAATGTTTAATACAAATAACATTAAGAACAACATAACGCTTAAATTATTTTACAGACATAGATCAAGCAGTAAGTATTGTTGTTTAGACCCAAAATCGCTTACACCCCTTTTCCACTACGCGATTACTCTTACTATAGTTGCGCGCGATTGCGACATTCTATGGGCTAAGGCTCCACTGGAACATCCGGGATTTTTAAAGTTTCAGATAAGGAAAGTCGATTGTCTAGTTAAACCTTACTAACAGTCGTCTTTGTCCCAGTATTATCACAGACAAGAATGAAAGCACAGTGGCGCCGCCAATTTCTTTTACGTACGTTACTTTCCCTGGTACAATCCTATATTGCAGATTCGAATTATAATAAAAACAAAATTAAAAAGGTTAAAATCCCGTAAAATTATTTAGCGTCGAAATTCTTTATTACTTTTCGAGTTGCATTCTGACGTATTAGCGCATTCATTTTCCCATTTCCGCTTGTGACGTCACTGGCAATACAACAGATGCAGGCACATTTATTGCGACGTAAAAACTGATGCATTTTTTGCAGTTTTTAGTTTTTTTTTAAGCTGCCAGAAATACGAGATTTTTTTAGTCTATGTGAATACTCGTATTTACATAACGGCCTTTAAAATGTTCTCAAATTTATAAATACAATTAGTGATAATACTTTATTAATAGCCACATAATTAAATGTTTGATTAAAATAATTTTAAAACTTGTAATTAAATATCCTTGTACCATTTTAGTTTGAATATGTAAACGAAATAATACGCCTAAATGCGGTCCTTAGCGGTCCCAAAAACAATTTGATGGGTAAACCCTTAAAGATTGGTCGGGACAATACAAGCTTGTTAACAAACTGTACCATAATAGGGTATTAAAATAACATTAAAACAACCGTACTGTAAAATCTATGTAAATATACATAGAGCGTAAATCACCTTCACAAAGGCATTTACAGTTCTGATATTGCGTGTCCATTGTCGATGATGCCTTGGTCTTCCCGTTGCTCTTTTGTCCCCACTTTTACAAAAAACACATATTCTGATTTTGCTTTCTTAATTCTTTTTTACATTGCATTAGTCTAGATATATCTATATTATTATAATAAAGCGTAAACACACACTTCTTTTTTGCCTAAGATGTCAGCAATTACAGCATATTTTTTAGTAATACTCTCTTTAATAAAAGCCCTACACTTACGTCACGCTTTAGGCTATAATTTTCACGGCATTAAAGTTAGGGGGTAATTATTTTAGATGAAAACCCTAAAGTGGGAAAGAGACCATAAGTTGCTGCCAACATCATGGAATCAAGATTGTCAAGGTTTGTCATGTCATGTCAATTTGACATTTGCTATTGATAGTTTGACAAATGTTAACAATAAAATAAAATTCGCATAATTCCATGCGGATGAAGGCGCACGGGAACAGCTAGTTACATAATATTAAGAAATGCAAAGACATATCTTGGCAATATTACGTCATCGTGTCCTGCGAAAATGAGAATAAAATAGAAATAGTTATACCAAGATATTCATTTTTTGATCGTCATTTGTCATCTTATAATTTTCGTCAACTTTTATCGATTCAAATACGTTATCTGTAATTAAAATATTTCACGCTGTAACTTAACTGACTCATCTTTTTCTATGTTAGTTTATTTGTATCCCAAACAATATAACCGGTTTTAACCAGTGAAGTGTCAGCCAACCCGTGTCAAAAGTGGTAGAGCCTGCGTTAACATCAACGCACTGCTGGGCCGGCTCTCCCCGTGAAATACTACGACCATACATAAGGCAAGCGCGAAGTGAAAGCAATTCCGCGTAGTCTGATGAGTGTAGTGCCGGAGACCTCGTTTTAATCCTAATTATTCTGTCATAGACGTGCAGTATTTTAGGCTTTTTTGCTTTTTAGAAGTGTTTTCATAAATTTTTAGTTATTTTGTATCTGATCGAATTACGTACAGTATGGACCGCATCTCTACGGCATTCATTACGCTATCACATTATCAAAGATAAGATAAAAATAATTAAGTCACTCGGCCGCAGATATTGCAATTTGTTTATGTAATAAAAATTGTCCTAGAATTTAAAGATAATGCAAGGATTTTGAATTGCGTTTTTATTTGTTAAGATATTTATTATTATTAACTGTTATGATGTAAAAACCTAATGTTATTAAGTTTTGTGATAGTTACAATTGGATTAAAACGTTGACTTGTCATGTGGGAATCCCAATAATTAATATGACCATGTCGCTTGGTTTGTCCGATATCTTAGTCATTTCGATGTGACGACGTTGTACTTTTATATTCACGGATCAAATTTTAATTGGAATAGCGTTTACATGCTATTCGGCCCGCCGAATTAGAAAGAAATAAAATTATAGGTTCTTCCATACTCTACATCTGTGCCAAATTTCATCGAAATCCGTTCAGTCGTTTCGTCTGCAAACTCTAACAAAAATACATCCATCTAAACTTTCGCATTTATAATATTAGTAAGATTAAAGGATTCATATAGATATAATATAAGATATACTAAAACAATTACATAAAGGTATGATTATCAAACACTAGCTTTATTTATTGTACCTTTTTTATTATAATTGAATGATTAGATTCTTAGAATGAATGAATGAATGAATGAACAGAGAACTTTGTAGCGAACAGGGGAAGTCTACATCCATGTTAAAGGTAAACTTCTACTGCTAAACACCTGTATAAAAAACGGTGCGTTTTTGTACCATATTTGCGACAATGTAAACCCACGGTATGACTGTATTTGCATACATTTATGATAAGATAAAACAAAATACAACCGAGCCTATTATCACATCCATTTACCGCATCAATGTGTCATAACAAGATTAACAAGTATCGTGGGTAAGGTTCGATTCACACAGGCTTTGTCTCGCGACGTCGAAGACTAACGACCGTAATAATTAAATATTAACTGTTCTTTCTTCACGATTTCGACGACGAAGCATGAAGTTCTATAAGTTGCATTTAAATGCTATCCTACTCCCTCTAGATATAGGGTTAAAAAAGAGAAGGAAACACCAAGGAAGTTTAACTAAGGGGAACGTTACATGTATTTGTTCTGCAGATTTTTCTCTGTTAGCCCTCTTTTTTACACTCTCGGTCATTTGGACGATTTAAATTTACTCTTATTTCGATCGTTTAGAGCTCAATATGCAACACAACGCGATGAACTGTCGCGTTATAAAAGCGCTGTATAAACAGAAATATGTTTGTGTTATATTTGAACGTTTTTTTTTTAGCGTGCGTTAGAAAAACGTCCGTGCGAATGAGGGCTTTCGAGTTATGGGGCAGCAGTTTTGCGTGTATTTAAACGATATAATCATCATTTTTATTTCTATTATAAAAACCTGGTTTAAATACAGTCTATTGTTTTAGTTTATTAATAGCCGTATGACGTAATATTTAATAGCAGAGTATGAAGGTGCGTAGGACATCGCTGTGGTTTCCTGTTTGGTTTTAAAACGTCTTGGATATTGTAAAACTATTTTAATATTGAAATACAGTATTTAGTTGTTAGTAAAATTATTGTAAAAATACGATTAGTGAAAGCGTTTTTTGCTATCTGTGCTATTAAGATATACACAATATTTTATAATTATTATATTGGTTTTTATAAATAAGGACTCACTGATAACGTAGCTTTTTAAGGAAGAATTTTTGAAATTGTTCCAGTAGTTTTTGCGTTATTTCAATATATACAAAAATACAAATGTTTCCTCTTTGTAATATTAGTATAGATTAACAGAATTATAGTATAAAAGAGTTTTTTTAAGTACACTAGCAAATGTTTTTAACCAATTTATTGTCCTTGTTTTTCAATTGTCCGATTTTTTCGCTTCGTCAAACAATGAAACGTCAGAAAGTTGCCGACACTAACTAAAAGTAAATTGATTATTGCTGTAGTTTTTTGTAGCATTTTTTATACCGAAGTTCG